AACCCTAACCCTAACCCTAACCCTAACCCTAACCCTAACCCTAACCCTAACCCTAACCCTAACCCTAACCCTATTAATAATATTATTAAAGCTAGCGTAAAAGCGCTCTAGCAGTAGCAGGTAATTATAATTATAATTAAATTTATCTTATAAGTAAGTAAAGTTGTAATTTATACTATTAATAAGCTTATTATATAGCTTACTGCAGCAATAGCAATGTAGCGTATAATTATAATTATAATATTAAGCTAGCTACCTGCTTTTTCTAATAATAACTTTACTACTAGCATTAGTATTGCTATTACTTAATAAGCTTTTATTAAGCTTTTTAAGCAATAATTCTACGTTAAATAAAAATACTATAGCCTACTATAGTAGATTATTAACTTTAAAATTATTGCTTAAAAATAGTAATAAAATTTAAGCTAAATTGTACAACACTATACCGCGCAGTAGTAATAGTAATAAAAGTAGTAATAATAATAATAATAAAAATAGTAATATTATTAACAGCAAAATTATTATTAAAAATAGGTATATAGCCTACTAAATAGTATAAAAAATAAACTATAAGCAATAAATTGTATTAACTGCGCGTAAGCTTTAAAACTATAATTTTATTATTAATACTAGATTGTTAATTATCTAATATATAATATAAGTTTTGTTATAGTTTTTAAGTACTTTTAGTTTATTAATTTATTACTAAAATTACTACTATTTTAATAGCGCAATAGTAGCATAGAACTAACAATAAGCGAGCCTTAGAAGGGTAGTAAATACTTTACTATTGGGGTAGTGCTTAACGTCTCCCCAAAGACGCCTCCTGTTGTAGTTTAGTGTGGTGCTACCCCCTAAGTTACGTGTTTTAGGTCTAGCGCAGGTGCCCTAAGCTCTCGTATACCCTCAATAGCAGATTGCACAATATAGACACCTTCGTCGACAAGCGATATTTCTACCGTTCGCTGATACTCCTGTTCGAAGCATGGAGATGGCAACAAACTGGATCCTGTCAACACCAGCATCTATAGCTAACTATCTCGTACGTAATGTCGATCGCCAGATTACGGTCACTGGTCGCTGACTTCGCACTCTATTCTACAGCAACAGGATGCGATTGCTCTAGACTATATTACCTTCGTCGCAAGCGAGAAAGTAACTATCTGCACCCGCTGTTGCACCGCAGTACCTGTCATGGGATTAGACACCCACCTACGAATAGCCCACCATGTTCCATCTAAACTGCGGCGAATGACGATAGCAAGATTTGACGGCGTGCCTGCTGCGCAATTCTTCAACGACCTAGTGCCTGGCCAGGGTGGATCGACGCCACTCCTTTATTTTCCTCCACCTGTGCCTGGATTCTGTTGTCCACGCTGTACAGATTTTAAGACAATCAACTGGGGTCAAATGAGAAGACATGCAAAAACGGAACATGATATCAGCGCTTCCGAATGCGTTCAAGACCAATCGAAACATACTGTATGTTTGCGCAAGAGAACATAAAGTGAGACGACAAACCACTGGACAAAGGGGAGGTCGAAGAGCGAGACAGGAACAACCAGCATCTTACACACGATGCCAAAGCAACGCGCTAGGGAACTTTGTGAAGACCCATTGATGATACTCAGTGTCGTGCGTTGCGTTGTTGCGCCATTTCAAGACTTACAAAAAGTGCGGCAATCTGTAAGTGCGTGCATTGGTAGTTTCAAAGAACATCACACAGTCCTTGAGAGCTGAGCGCCGCTCAACCATCAAGGTGATTTGGTTCACACGAACGAAAGGCCTCTTGAATTCGATAGAACTTCAAAAGGATCTATCAAAGGGAACGTTGAGTCTGTACACTATCCCATTCAACACATGCAGATAATCCATCGATAAATGTTCTAACAATCGTGTTCAACTGTCAAAACCCGTATTGTGCTTACCGCTTTGGCGCACGTTCGTTAAGAGCTGAGAACTCAACCCTTAAAGCCCGAGCTCTGCTTACATACTACCGTCTCAACGCACGGTTGTTGAGAGCTGTTGAAAGCTTAGGCGGGCTTGTGGATATTGGTACCGTATTGTTGTCGGAGTGCCCTGACGCCTCTGACACTGTAGGAACTTCTTCACTGGTCCATCGTCAGGACAGCTTCAAGTCCAAGTGCGCAGCTGGCTTCGTCGCGGGAGTTGGCTCGTTGTCCGTGTTGCCTGAGGTGATGTAGGTAGATCGCGGGGGACACGTCGCAGGAGGGGGAATCGGTACAAGACTGCACCAGCTTCCCCTTCCACTGCGGTACTTCGAGGTGCTGGTGGATCGCGTTGTCAATAATAAACAAGGAAAAGGTAGCTATGAGCTTAAGAAAGAATGGCTTCGCGTTGACGACGGCAGATTGACGCGGTTGGTGTAGCTGGCAGCAAAGCTAAGCGTACGCGACGGCTGCCTTGCGGATAGGCCTACAAAGATACTAGTAAGTGCTAGCATCAACGCCTATCCCGTATCTCCGTTAGCGGCCTCATCACCAATTTCGACCCTATCAAGACCCAACCACTCCAGCCTGAATACCAGCCAAACGCCTTGGCTAAACCTACAAAGTACATTTTCTGACCTTGAGAGCCATTTCAGACCGATTGGCAGTGTGTTCGTAGAGCCCGGTTGGTATTCAAGGCAATTCTTACAAGGTTCTTGCGTGATGTGGATCGGCTTGGGTGACGCGGATGTAACATGGGTAATGCGATAGGAAATATGGCACCCGCGCATCAAAGAACCTCACGGCGCTGAAATTCAGGACTTGTAGTACCTAAAGGATATATACACAACAGGTAGGGGAAGAGGTATGGGGTCGTCGCTGGTACGACGCGCAAAAGTATGGAGATAGTATGAAGGTGCACTTTACACTCAACATAGTTAGATTACAAGAATCTTCTCCAGGCCTACGCCTCCTCTTCGCCCCATCCGCATCGCTAGTTGCGGTCCTTTCCTGCATCTAGCCCATGAGCTTCAGAACAAATCGGTTATGACGAAGCAATTCCATCTCCAAACTAGGTCCGCAGCATGGCTGGACTCATAGCTGGTATCTGGTCGTATGACACGAACCGTCTTCTGGTGTAGACATATTACATTGCCCGAGTCCGTCACTTCACCCTATCTTTTGCCGCTTCCTGTCCCCCTTGACGGGCTCGAATTCGGTATCATTGGATGACGGCGTGGGCGGAAGCGAGACGTAGGCAATACTCGATGCCACGGAAGCAGAAGCCTTGGACGAGGCACGACTCTTGGCCATGGTGGCCTTGATCTTGGGATATCTATCCCTGAAGGACTTGAGTGCTGCCTTGAGCGACTGTAATCGTGCGTCAAGCGCATTGTCAATGTGATTCCAGAGTATTGCCCTCGCCTCAACGAGGTATTTCTCGTTGCGCAAGGTGCAGTCGTAGATGCTCTTCATGTAGTATCTCGTCGCGCCCATGGCATCCACCTCCCGCCAGTGTATCCATATATTGACCGCCTGAATGTCACACGTCAGCGAGATGTGCGAACTTTCGAGCAGTGTCGAATGTCGTGTATAAGCCGTCTGATAGAATTCGTCGAGGTACCGGACGATGGTGGCGCCGTCGCGAGCGCTTTGGGCGTGCGCAATCATGTGGGATTCGCCCGTGGCGGGCTTCCACTGCGATGTCAGAAAAGGGAACATGAGGCTAGAATTCAGTGTAAAGCTGCCCAAGGCTTCCTCTTCTTCGACACTAAAAGCCGTGGCCAATTGGGGATCGACCGACAAGGCTTGGTGGTTGGAGAGGTATCCAATGGCCGTATCGGGCTGGGGCTGCGACAGCCGGACGAGGTCCTTTCCTGGTGGCACAGGTGGGAGGAAATCGCGTGAGAGGTTGAAGTTGAGCTTGCTCGATAGTCTGGGCACCGCATTGAGGGCTGTGGGGTCATCCTCGCCAGCGAAGAGAAGCAGCGGCTCCACCTTGCGAATGCCCGTACTCTCATTCTCCAGCGACGCCGCCAGCCGTGTCTGCACGATGCGCCTTGCATTCGGCGACGGCGGTTGAGTCCGCGCCCGCAAGAGGACATGGTCGACGTGCTCCTGGAGCTCGTGTGGGAGCGCCCGAGCCGCATCTACCTCGATATTGTATGAGCGAAGTGTGGCGCGGTTGTCCCATGCGCTGCGTGTCGGCGAGCCCGAACGCGACGACATGGATGGCGGTGGCGGCGGGGACGAGGTCAGAGAGGAGTCGCGCGTGTGTTGGGAGAGGTTTTGGAGCGTGAGCGGAAGCGTGCAGCCTAGGGGAGGAGAGTCGACTTTGGGTGGGCTTCGAGCCGGGATACTGCAGGCGCGGCGTTTGGCCGGCCGAGGAGCGTCGTGGGCAGCGTTGCCAGCGTCCGACGCTGTTGCAGTGCTGGAGGAGCGGGTGCGCTTTGCCATGTAGTGACACTAAGGATGCGAACGACCGAGGGCATGCGCATGCGCATGCGCAGGTACGTGTGGGTGATAATGAATTGGTGTCTTGTTGTTGTTGTTGTTGTTATTGATGATGTTGATGTTGCCAAGCTTCCAGCTTCTTGTCGGAGTTTGATAGTCCTTACTGCCGAAGCTATGGGGCGCGGGCGAGATTACTAAGCACTTACCAAGACACTAGCCTAATCAGGGTAGCCATATGTAACAGCTACGAAGCTCGGCAAGCTCTTACATGACCATGTTATCCCCAGTACCAAGCTATCGATCGAACATGGTTATTCATGTTTGGAAGACTTCATACCCGCCCCTCTCCGCCTCGATAATGGTGACGAACGGACCTTAGACCACTTTCGGCTGAGGCCAATGGGGAAAACCGAGCGCTCAACGTTCTGCAGCAAGCTCCAACCCACGTACTTTACCCGCGCCTGCACCAGGATCAATCTGTCTCTAGCATGCGGTGCGGTGACATAACGGCCGTCGTAATGCGAAGATTCAAATGCCGGTTTCCCTAATAATGGTAGTTCTTACTCCATATGGGTATGTGCAATGCTTTGGCTGGCAAAGCTATTGGTATCTTACGGCAGGAACTTCACTCATTACTTCGCTTGAGTTGACTAGTGGGACGTGAACGTGTGTCTCTTAGGTATTAGGGGAAGGGCGTTCCTTCGTCAAGGCAAGCCGATTATGGTCGCAGCTGAGGACACGGATATCCGAAGGTGAGGCTTGGGGAGAAGAAGGGGAGATAACAAACTAGGAAAAATTCGGTGGTGTTACCCAGATACTCGTCAAGCAAGCGTCTCATCACGTCAGAACTCAACATGCAAGCTGTTTTGAAGCCTCTCTTGTTGCTACAGTTATCGGTTCCAAAATCCAAAACAGGAATTTTCATTTCTTACCCGCGCTGCAGAGAGCTTCTTTTCGGCGTCACTAGCAATATGAACCCACTAACTACAGCTATTTGGTCTTTACTTTATAATACTCCTTTCCCCTCGTCGAAGGCTTTGACAATCCTGATTTCACTAGTCATGCAGTAACAAAGCGGTTCGCTTGCAATAGAGTTGATATTGCAACAACTCAACATTAATTATCGTCAGTATAGCCATCCATAGGCCGAATTTCGACGCTCGTATGCCTTTCGAATCCATTGCTTAGAAAGGCAAACTTGTCTTCCGTGTTCCTTATTTGCATTCCAGACCGAACACCACTGCTGCAGCTAAGGTTACAGAGTGAAGAGCCGCATCTGCACAGTAGTGCAGGAGACGTTTAGATTTCTGGCCAAACGTCCGAAGATCTGTAGTATTAGGATCCTGTAACTGTGCAACACGTGAAACACAATGCAAAGATGATAGGAATGGGGCTATAGAAGCTGTCTAGGCTTTAAAGTAAGTACAAACATCCCTGTGTTTAAGCACGCATAATTTCGAAAAACAGTGCTTACTATAGCAATAGCAGAAGTTCTGCTGAGGATAGCTGAGAGGGTAGTTTTAGCTAAGACTAAGTTAGCTTTATAAGGTATATTTTGTTTCTATAGCGTAAGTTACCCTGGATAATTAATACAAAGAATACAGCCTCTAGCAGTAAGAATCGCGTTTACACAGAGGAGCTCCTAAATATGTCTACTATTAGTTTATAAAAAGGGATATAATCTTGTATAAGCTTATTTAAAAATTATATAAGGATAGTAGACCTAATAATATTGTTTTATAATACCTGCAGTTTGCCTAGCTTTCTCTAGGCTAAATATTCTAGCTAAAATAAAAATAAGCTTTATTTATTTCTATATTTAAAAGTAAGTTAACGCTAGAGCAGATTATACAATACAGTAAAAGAATTTAGTATAAAATTATAGTTTAGGTACTATACCTAGCACTTTAATACAGTATTAAAGCAGTAAAGTTTATACAATACTAGACTAGCTAAATAGATTATTAAAAAACCCTTGATAATTACTATAAGTAGACTATAAGTTTTATTTATAAGTAAATAGTAAAGAAGTAAGAAATAAGCATTCTTATTACACTAAAGTTTTTTATTAAGACTACTTAAGAAGACTTAATGCAATTGTATATCTAAGCTTTTTTCTATTAATATACTTAGTTTTTAAATATAAGTTTTTTTTTTGCTTATATAATGCGGGGATATACAAAGTATTATAATAAATGCAAAAAATATAAGTTGCAGCAAGTAAAGTATTCTAAAAAAAGGCTATTATATACTTAATGCAAAAAAAAAATTATATATCTTAAATACAAAAAGCAGTTATAGTAGCTATTTTAAAATAAAGAAACTAGTGCTTTTTGTTTACAAGATAAACAGATACTCTCCAGACCTGCTCCCGAGCATGGCACTACAGAAAAGGCACCTGAGGTCAACGTTCTGCACCCTCTTAGCGGAATGCCCTCATGGGCAATACTTCCTCAAATCTCACCACAAAAGCCGTCATATCTGGTAGACTATTACTTTGGTCACATATGTAGACTGCTATCAGCATTCGATGGTGTGAAGAACCCATTTCGGACAACTCTCCTCGGAATCTGGCAAAAGTCGGCACTAATACACGCCTCCATAGAGACACTATCAGCCGCCAGTCTCGCGAAAACTGGACTTCTCTCGATTCAATCAGCTACGGCGAAAGCTCCGCGGCTCCGATATGAAGAAGAAGTCGAACCTGGAAGAAGCTCTACTCGCTCTACTCCTCATCGGCCCTGTGTCTTCGTGGTTCGATCCGAACGATTTTGGCGTTGCTCATTACCGAATGGCAACGTCATTGCTTAATCAGAAGCTCAGTCTAGATACTGTTGATCGTAGTATGGATGTGGATCTCAGCAATCGCTTCTTCTCAGAATCATTGGTGTACTGGTGGATGTTGCTTTGCTTTGCGCCTGCAACCTATGATATCACTTCTCCCGAGCTGCTGGATATTCAACACATCCACAGTTCGCCTATAGGGTCCAGGAGGCATCCACATCCGTGGACGGGCGCGACTACCTGGCTCTTCTCGAACAATTCCAGGAAACAATGGACAAACGGCTGGGTGGGCCGTACGGGCTATAGGCGTTGGAACGATGGTGGAGGTCCTTGGGGGAGTGGAGAGAGTTCAAAATCTGGCGGTGTTCGGTTGGATGCGGGAGCGGAGATCGGGTAACCAAGGCGTTATTCTTGTTGAGATGGGCGGGTTGAGAAACCATGGTTGAGAGCTGTAGACTACCCCGGGCGGAAGAAATTGAACGCGTACGTTGAGGATACTTTGAGAACTTTGAGAAGTGGACGGGCGCATCCGCTGAAGCCAGACTACTCTTTGGCAAGATCATGCGCCTTATATTCCTCCAGCGGTCCCGTCGACAAGCCAACGTGTTTCTGTCCAGAAGTCAGATAAATGCCGACCAGAATGATCTTAATAAAGCCACCGAGCTCGAGAACGAGCTTCTTTCCCTCTCCCTCGCAGAAGAGACCGAGTTAACCGACGCAGAAGATCCAGAAGTATCAACTGGAGACTTTATCAATGTAGCGGAGAGCTTCAAGTTCTGCGCATTACTATTGTTATACCGAGGGTTCCCTGATCTACTAGATGTACGGTTGAACGCAATTTCATACAACCAAATAGGTGGCGACAATGCTCAGACGAATAAGCTGAAACGTCAACAATGGCTCACCTCATCAGCCTTGCGTGCTCTCGAGCTCCTCGAAGATACATTGAGGCCATGCAGCCTCCAGAGCCTCCAACCCATACTTATGATCGTCATCGCCGGCGAACTACACTACCACCACCTCAGCAACGAGGGACCCGAATCAGGGGAGAATTGCGATGCTGCTCTGAACGAATACCTCGATGTACTCCAACAGTTTGAGCCCGAAGAGGGCTCGGCGGGGTTTGTTAGTCGTGGGCATCAAACTATTACAATGGCACGCGGTGAGATTCAGAGACGTGTTGAGCTGGGTAGTGTAGCGCTACCTAGTACAACGACGGAGCGCATGTTCAAGATAATCCGAGAGACGTATAGGTTGATGGATGAAGGGAGTGAGAATGTGTTCTGGGTAGACGTTATGCTTGAGAATAATTGGACTGCGGTATTTGGGTAATGTAGGTAGCGGACTAAAGCAGAGTCGGATAGAAGGAGGTAATAGGGAATATTAAAAGAGTCTAAGGAAGTTATTATTATATCAATACGCAATGCCGCTCTCTGCTCCATCTTATATAGACATATCATAAGTACTGTTATGAGGAAAACTAGAAGTGCGGCACCCGCTTCAACGCCTACTGTTGTGAAACACCTGGGCCTTCCGCGTCCAATTACGTTCCTTCTAATCGGGGACTACGCTCCTTGAGCATCCATGAGCTAGCCACGAAGGCTTTTGCGAAACTACCAAACGAGTTGATCGTGCTGACTACGGCCCGAATCACACACTCCTTGGCAAAACAGACGGTCCTCTTCAAGTTGCGCATCTTCTTGCCGAGCACGGCGAGCTGGCCAGATCTCACCGCCTCCATTCTGTTCCTGGGCTCGATGCTCATGGAGCTTGGACCGTAGCCATGACTGGAACTGAATTACTGCGTCCTCCATTCTGGGGTGAAGGGGCCCTGCAATGTAGGTATCTGTGTTCAGGTTGATCTGAACTCCGTTCCCGAGTACTTTGTCCTCTCTTTCTACCTGTTTGAAGAACTCGCAAGCATCGTTGAAGTCTTCGTCAGAGGCCGTCTTGTTGCGGAAGATTTGGTATGACATAATCGATGTTGTTGGTGACGTTGGTACTGCGGACATCATGTAAAAGAAAGCGCCACTGCATATCATATTATTAATTGAGTTTACGAGCCAATGCAAGGTTTCTGCTTACGAAATAGTCATAGTAGCATTGGGAAACAAGAACTGTGGAGCCGCTGGGATGACCACAGCATCAGCCTTCATGGAACCCTCCACATAATATTCGATGAAGTTTTTCTTAAAAGCTTTGGGAAAGTCGCCTTCGGGCTTCAAGAAGGAGGCAAAGCCAGGATGAGCAACGGAGCAGTGGTAGCACTAAGCAAAATGCGGTCAGATCATAACTCTACTCTTGGAGCCTAGGCTCGCCTTACCTCGTTATAGTTCTCGACCAGGGCCTTCCAGTTGAAATTTCCGTCCATTTTCCAGTCATGGTCGAAGACGTAATCGTCTAGGTTGAACTGATTCATCCTCTGCTGTTCGTCAATGCCGCCAAACTGGGAGCTCCAGGGGATTGGTTCAGGCGAATTGTCGAAGTTGACGTAGATGAAGCCCATTTTATCGATATGGGTGTGGATCTTGAAAAGTGAGAATTCCGACTTGTCAAAGTCCGGCAGGCTGTCGAAGCGTGGCGCCTTGGCCAGCTTGCCGTTGATTCCATACGACCAGCCTTTAGAGATGTATTAGCAGATATGTCGGCGCACTTCGGGTATCTAACTAACCATGGTATTTGCATGCTATTATCCTAGCCGTGCCGCTGTCTTGATGGATCAGAGGAAAGGCGCGGTGACGACAAACGTTAAGGAAAGCATTGATCTTGCCCTGCCTGTCCTTAATGACGAAGAAGGGATAGTTAGCCATTTCAAATCGGACATACTGCCCAGATTCGCGGAACCGGCTAGCATGTGTGATGAGCAGCCAATGGTTTGAGAAGATAGCCCTGCGCTCAAGGTCGTAGAAGGCCTGCTCGCGATACCAGGCAGCCGGCAAGGTTGACCCGAAGCTCTTCTCTAAGACTGTAGACGGCATAATTTGTTTTAATAAAATAGTACTACGGCTAGACTGTAGGGTGGATCGACTGATTTAGACCATCCTCGACCTATCTATTTGACGTCTTAATATACTCTTTGGTCTGCCGACCACGCTATAGACCTGGAGATCCAAGTGGGCGGCCGGCGACCGAGGAAACCGAGCTGGTCGGATTAAAGTGCTACAAGCGCACGGTGCGGAAAATACCTTATCTCTTCCCCGGGCATCTTCGATCTTCTAGCGGGCGATCAAGACGGCAGCGGGGTAATTTCTCGTTCTTGCAGGCCTCTTGCAGCAGACAGCGTAGCCAATGTCTGCGGAAGTGTACCTCCTCGAATTCGGTGGCCTACGCCTGGGACTAGAGTGCGACCCGTGAACGTAGTCACAAGCTTCTAACCATAGCCTCTGATTATGGAAAGGCATTTCACGTTAACATTATTAGGCCCTGATTCCACAGCCAAACTTGGGTTATAAAAGTACCCTCTACAGCATGTACCTCCTCCTCGTAGTGAAGTTAGAGCGAACTCTGACTGAAAATTGCTCGGTTTCGTCCCTGAAAAAGCCCGGATCTTTCCCATTGTGACAACGAGAGAGTTAGTCAGACCTTACTTCGGAGCAGCATCGTTACCATTTCTTACAGTTTACCCTTCCGTACGTATGCAAAGTATGCTCCACGCATCGGAGGCTGAAGTCGAATCAAAAAGATACCCCCGCGGCACCGGATTTACCTGATTTGCTATATTAACAAAGCTGAGCAATTGGCGCAAAGCTTTCCAATTAGATATAAACTAAGTAAGTTCCTTTCAAAGCTTTCTACCAAGCTTCCGCTAGCAACCGTCGCTTTTGAGCGGACTTTGAAGTCCGCCGAGTTTTGGCACAGTTGCTGATATCTACGAGAAGAACGAACTTGAAGGGCATAAAGTTCATGATGCGTACGCGATAAGAGTATTATATGGGAAATGGGAAGAGGAAAGTGCTCTTGCCGTAGTGTAGAAGCCCTTAGGTAGCCTGATGAGTACTGAAAGTGTAGACTAAGATACAGCAACTCCCTAGCTTAGTGTACAAACAGACTCTGCTACTCTATATCGTCGAATGTAGAGACTGCTGGAGAATGGAACGCCTACTACCGCTAGAGCACTCCGTTAGTAAAAGGATGGCGAAGACTTCTGGTCTGTCCGTCCAACACTTTTGACATCTTGGAGACTGGCATCCTTCCTATCGGCATCTGCTTCCGCTTCTTGAATACCATCAATGCCAATTCCTTCGTGGTGAACGACACCTTCAAATACCTGATCGAGCTCTTCCAGGGACATTCCCTTGGATTCTGGAAAATAAACCCACATTGTTACAATAATGACAACATTGAATGACGCCACGATTGCGTAGTATCGCCAATTGATGTGCTTGATGGCGATTGGCAGGGTATATTGGTTCATGCAGGAAAATGCGTATCCTAAAGCTTGGCTGATGGAAACACCTTTTGCGCGCTGCGAGAATTTGAGGATTTCAGGTGGGTACACGTACGCAAGGAGCAACCTGCAGTAGGTGCCGTGGGTTAGCGAAATGGTCTAGAAAGATGGTAAAATGATTCATCGATCTGGGAGAGCTCACCAAGACGTGGCCATCGCACCCATGAAAATGAACAGCATGAGTACAGAGCCAATCCCATAGCTGATTCTCCCAGTGTCTTCATAACCGTAGCCAAGACCAGCCATTACGGCTAGGCAAAGGGTCATCACACACGTTCCACCGACTAGAAATATTGTCAGCCATGTATGCACGTTGTCAATTCGGAAAACAAGCAGTCCATTAGGAAGACGACAATCAAAACTTACTGAGTACAGGCTTTCGACCAATCCTATCCGTTAGTGCACTACCAATCATCATGGAGATCCAGACCCAGATCGATATACCCAGGGAGAGCAGGAAAACCTGCTTAGTCGAGGTAATGCCAGCGGTGCCAATAATTAGTGTTTGAAAGTATCTGATACATTATATTAGCTCAGTCACAGTTCTACGAGAGATGCAGGAGGATATACGGGATTGTGTAGGCTCCAGTGATTTGAGAAAAGATAGCACAAAGACACGCAACACAGAATCTCTTGAAGTTGGCGACTTTTCATCGCTCAAGTTAGTGATGAATTAATATTACAAGAGAGGAATGATTACGAACTTGGCTTTATCAAAGACAACCACCCAGCCTCATTGAGCTTTTCATACTCTAAGGTTGAGCGAATTTCTTCAAATTCTTCGCGAACCAGGGGACTCTCGCGATTGCCACGCCCATGCAGCTTTGCTAGGATGTCCAATGCCTTAGTCGAACGTCATGTTAGTCTATCGTATGAGTAACAAGAGTGGAATTGCTCGAAACTCACCTTTTCATTCTTGCCTCTATGTATGAGATATCTCGGACTTTCCTCTAAGAGAAAGATGAATGGTATAGACAGCACTGGTAATAGACCCTCTCCCTGCTCAAGGACGTCAGATAGAGTCGAAGAGAAAGCCGCAGCCTAGTTGCCAAACGTACCATAACCAGTCCTCTCCAAGCCCAGTTGCTTGGAGAGGTGTATATGAAGATTCCAATGATATTGACTGGGATATTGAAAAGAAATACGAGCGACATAAGCGAGCCAACAAGAAGCCCTCTATGTTTTGGATGGGCGAGCTCGGTAGCCATGGATGTAGACGCGGTGACACTGATGACGATAGCTACGCCCAGTAGGAACCGACCTACAAGCAGAGCAGCGACTATGATCCTAAATGTCAGCTATAAGTCTCATCTATAATACCTGTAAACGTACCGCTGTGCGTCGCTACCTGGACGACGACGGAGATAATCGAAAAGAAAGATCCTAGGAACATCCCATTCCTTCGACCCACTCTGTCGATAATCTCGCCCGCAAATGGGCCTACGAAGAACGAGCCCGCGCTTACGATTGCTACGTGCAGTCCTAGCATAGATTCGTCGAGGTTGTAGTCTGGAGACGAGTGAGAAACAGGTACCCTGTACGCTGATAGCTCAAGTCTTACAGTTAATGAACTGCTTAAACAGTCGTAAAGAATTGACAAGATTGCCATCGTATGACATGGGGGCGAGGTTGCATATCGTCGCAGCCATAATTTTGGCATAGGTGATAGCAAGATGTCGATCCATTCTGAGTGTGATAATGGGTACGCTGTACCGTCAACAGACTAGACGGAATGGATGGAGAGGATGTAGGAATAGTAGAAATTGTCTTGCTTTGAGGTATCTAAAGGGGTACGAGGCGATATCAACTCGGAGACCCCGCTACGGGAAATACTTGCATGTATTATCCAGTTGGGCGCGCATCATTACAAGATAAGAAGCCACCCCTCGCTGTCTCTGCTGTAGCTGAGCTACTAGCCTTGGCTATAAATTAGTCGCCCCATGGACAAGGGTGACCCCATGGGGAATCGAGTCACATGCAACACTTGGAGATCAAGCTGACAGCGAATCATATTCAGCATTTACAAATTTTCCGTCTTAGCTCACTACTTGTCGAGCACGATACAACATTGTTGCATTATGATCTACTTGCTGCTTATAGGGTGTTCATCGGTTCTCTCCGGGAAGATACGCCTCAACGCTAATCTCGATGTGCAAGCTCGGATGGAAAAGACTTTGAACCCCCACTCCAACCCAAGCTGGTTTCGTGCTCCCTAGGCGGACTCTAGCTTTATCGAGCACTATGTCCATCAGACCGGGAGCCGAAATCTCGAACGTGTTGATCTATGCCTCGTTAGTAATCACCACAAACGCCAGAGTACAACTTATTCAGTCTTTACCTTGTAGATGTGCTCCCACGCATCATCGCCCAAACCTGCTACTTTCAGAGCTTTATCAACATGCTCGAAAGCCGTTTCAACTTCCTCTGACAAATTCTCTGAGACTGTGCCATCGTCACGGATTCCGACTTGTCCCGCCACGATGATAGTGCGCGCATTTGGAGGCAAGATAACAGCATGTGATATCCCCATTCGAGCAGCGGCTTCCTCCCCTGTTGTTTTTATTAATCCCTGACCATAGCTTGGGAGCGGAGCCCAGTACCTGCTCCAGGCCAATTACGGAATTGGAAACCGTGCGCGCATAACTTTGAAGATCTATCGTCTGTGACCATGATTGCGGAGATGAGTTGTCGGAGAGTTGCAAGCCTTCGACAGCTTTTCACTCGGGTGTAGGCTCAAAGACGCGAGCTGCCTCTCAAGTACCCAGTACGCCCGAACTAACTGAACCGCATCAATTTTTGATTGGCTCCGATAACTTGTCTGATGATGCGTTCCTGTGCCTCACCCACACACGGGTTTACAATGCCCTGATAGCAGCACTGACGATTTCTTGACTTGGGGGTGGAGACATGAACAACAGGTGCGGCAGCCAATAAGAAAAAAACCCGGTAGTATCTGGGGTGCCGCCAAATGTCCCTGCCCCTGCCACGCACCCGCATTTCGTAAGGCAACATACGGAATCGTTCCGATAACAACGATGCATATTCCGCGCAGGTGGCGCGCAGTCCGCGAACACCGCGCCGAAACACCTGTAGCCTACTGTTTACATAAGGTTAGTATATTAGCCTTTCTTTGATGTGTATCACCGAGCAGTCAACGAAAAATCAAAGTTCTATCTCAACATGACAGATAAGAAATTGCGAGTCGTTATTGTTGGTGCCGGATTCGCTGGTCTGACCGCCGCAATTGAATGCCAGCTCCGTGGCATGTAGGGCCACCCTAAATATGCCGCCCTTTTTGCAATCGAATGCTAATATGATATATAGGCAAGCCATCCTGGTCGAAGCTTATCCTGGCCCTACTTCCCACGGAGACCTACTCGATTTCACTGAGAACGCGGGACGAATATTCAAGAGTTGGGACAATGGCAGAGTTGGCAGAGCTATTTTCGAAAGCGGAGTTACAGCTGCCAAAACCATGCAATTCTACAACCAGGAAAATGTTTTGCTGCGGGTTGATGCTTGGCCGCATGGAGACCAAGTCTACGCGGGCCACCGAGGCACTATGCACAGAATAGTGTTTGACTACGCAGTCGAGGTCGGCGTTGAGATGCGGTGTGGAAAGAGGGTTCTGCAATATCTAGACACGGAGGATGAGTGTGGCGTGACGATTGACGGCGGTGATAAAATTCTGGGCGATGTCCTGATTGCTGCTGATGGACCAAGGTCGCTAGCTCGTTCGCAGTTACTGAAGCTCCCCGAGGGACGTGTGAATAGCGGATATGCAATCTTCAGGGCATACTTTGAGGTTTCTGATTCCTTCAAGAGTAATCCAGCTTTGGAGGAACTGGCAAAGGAAGATGAAGATGTGGTGCGGTTTTGGGTGGGACGTGATATGCACGGCTTCATTTACACTTGGAACAAGGGAAGGTATGTTATACTATCGTTATTGCTATATATTCTTCTAACGCCGTTATAGGGATTGTGCGTGGGTCCTCACGCATCTCGACGACGCCAACATTGGCGAGTCGTGGTCTTTTCCAGGCAAGAAAGAAGATGTCCACTCTTATCTAACCCAAGCCGGATTCCCGAATGTCTGGCATGAGATCGTGGAATTGACACCTGAGAGCCGTCTCATCGATTACAAGCTTGTCTGGCGGGACCCGCTAAAGACCTGGGTCACAAGCTCCAAGCGTGGGGTCGTTATCGGCGACGCCGCACACTGTCATCTTCCAACATCGGCCCAAGGAGCTTGTATGGCTGTTGAAGATGCGGCTACTATTGCAATCTGTCTGCAAAAGTCAAATGGCAATGTGCCTCTTGCTTTACAAGTATTTGAACGCATCCGCTTCAACCGCTCCCACACGATCCATCAAGCGTCTATATTCACGCGGAACATCTACCATAAAAATGACTGGTCACTTGAAACAGTTCAGCAGAATCCAGATTCCCTGGTAATGCCATTAATGGACTGGATTTTGGATTTTGATGCGAAGAAGACAGCAGAGGATAATTTTGAGCAGCTCGCGAGCGATGTGAAGAGCGGAAGAGAAGGGAGTATTGAGGAACTGGCTCTTCCAGCTGGAGGTGATTACAACGCAATGAACATAAGTGCTACGGATCAGTTCATAAGTTCAACTGGGCGCGATCATCATGTTCAGTTATCGAGCGTTGCAGCTGCCACTCAAGCTTTACCTCTGAAGATATAGCTTCATTTAGTAAATCCATTAGTCTGTGAGAAACCTAGCCACATGTAAATTCCTGCTACTAGTAAATTTACGTTTTGGTATGCTCTACAGACTAACTTATAAGCGGAGGTCACAGCTTACAGTATACTACATATTGGTAGGAGCACAGGCTTCTCGGGTAACAGCAGTAGTTACGCACATGGGAAGTGGTGGGGGGCAACAGCTCTTTCCAACTGCAGGAACAGTACCCTAGCTCCCACAGAAGAAGGAACGAGACACGAGAGCAAGGCGCGAGCATGATTTCGGGTACGGACTAAGCAAATGGTAGAATTCATTGAGCATTCCTCGTGTAAAGGTAAACGTCGACAAACCACCCGTATCCAGCTAGAAATTGTTCGGAGAGGATCGTTATGCCATGCCTGCTTTATGAACATATTCGTTCAAAGCCGATGCTAATAAGAATGAGGCTTGCTTCATCGGACCTTATTGAAACACTAGTATGGATCCCGACTTAGAAGACAAAAAAGTAGGCATTGGCAGATGCAAGGCAGCAGCTCCTTGAACGTCGGATCTCGGCATACTTCCCTATACGTGACGGGGGAATTCTTCGCACGGCGTAGCTGTGGCACAGCTTCAGGGACGTATTGTATGCTGGTTGACCTTTTGGGTGCGGCGGCAGGTGAGAATTTCTGGTTGCCGAGGATATTCTCTTGATCGAGTAGGAGATTCTCGTCGTCGAGCAGGATATCCTCGAGGTCAAGCAGGAGATATTCGTCCTCGACCAGAGATTTCACAGCACTGAGCCGAGAGTTAGAGTCCTTGAAGAAGGCATCGCGCTGGTTCGCACGCAGCCGGCTTTGCTGGGCGCGCTCAAGCCTCTTTATGGCTTCTAGTGAGGAAGGAGTCTCCATGGCGTGCGTCTATGGCTCGAAGTTGTGGTATGGTTGTAGTTGATTGGGTGTTGGCTCTCAGGGATGTACGAGAAGTTGAGTCTTTGGAGGTGCAGCAAGATGTGTGCGAGATGCAATTTTTAAACTCTACGTGGCATGTTGAAGGTCTTGCAGGCTGTATTGCCTAAACCACGGTTACGAATCTTGGATTATGATTACCCTTGTAGCTAGTGGGTTCCAAGCTGCGTACTATACCCTTCCAGTGTGAAGACCACTTCCGAGTGCTCGTTCCATGGTTCAAAGATTGCTGAAGTTCACAATGACCATGATTCGGCCGGCGCGGTGGTACTGGCAAATCACTGTGTGTCCGATGGAAGAACGTCAGCAAAAGAATCCAGCATATTCCACGTGAGTTCAGCACCATGAAGCTATTGCGGATATCGTACTGGGGTCAAAGCCCAGTAACCTCAGCGATCCTACTACATTCTCACGTCCCCAGGCACATCGGGAATATATCCGCCCGTGGATGCGCCCAGTCGTGAACTCTGCTGCCAAATGGGGCGCGCTCCCTATCCATCGTAGTATTTTCCTCGAAGCTCGCAGTATATATCCATGGGAAGGCTTCTAAACGTGTTGTAGAAGCCCGAACTGCATAGTGTTATCGGCGCTGTGGAGCGTATACGTAGGATCGGCCCTGCTCGTGCGAAGCGCTGGCAACAGGCAGTTCTCAAAGGTCGAGATTGTAGTTTTCATAGCGATCGAAGTTGGTATGCATGACGACGGCGTCCATAAGTTGAAAGCATTGTTATTCTGTCGTGTACCTCGTAGGCGGCAGAGAGAGCGCGGCATTAGGTCCGTGGTGTTGACGTCTCCACCGGGGCCGGGCCGCCGGGGATGAGAAACGCGATGATTTGCGCTAGCCGAACCAGGTGCCGAGGCCCCGCGACGCGAAGCACGACTGGGGAGGGGCGTTGCTTCACCAACATGATACACGAATATCTTTTGTCGCTCATTGCGTCCTCGCTATCTTTGACGCGCCTACTTTCTGGAACCCATGGAGATGAGGCTAGAAAAAGCGCGAGCGTGCCGGCAAACTCGCCTTGGTCTAGGTACGTCAAGCTTGCCGCTTCAACTGGCAGAATCGCGCAATACTGATTCACATTCCCTATCTCAGCTTGAACACCCGCACCCCAACCTCACCAGCGATGACTCGGACGTCGAGCTTGAATCCGCGCACACACCACCGTCACGGCACCTTTGCTCTCAACCTTGTAGCCACGAAATAACCGTCTCACCGCTATCGATGGGGCCTGCAACATCTTTCCGCTCCATTCTATACCCAACCTGCCGTTATGACTCGACTGCTTCCGCAATCATTTCGTCCCGCGCGCTATTTCGACACATACAACGGAGCGGCCATGGCCAAGCGAGTGAGCAGGGAGATTAGGGAAAGATGCACCCTAGTGCGAGGAGCTGGAATGAGATCGAGCTGTGCAGTTCCAGCATGCCGTCAGCGTCCAAAACATATCCACGAATTCTTCGGCGAAATGATCCTCTGTTGGCGACTGTTGCGCATCGTAGCCTTCCCTGCTATTGCCCTACGCATCCTCAGTGTTATGCAACAGCACCTCCGGCGGGTTCATAGAGCAGATCCATGTAAGCTGTTGGGCTGTCTAATTCTCCCCAACAGTCCCTCTCGTTAAGGTATCGAAGAAGGCTGCATCAACACCCTGGAACGCCCAATCGTCTATACTCGCCGCCAGCCCTGGGAACTGCAATTGCTGCTGATGGATATTCTCTTCTGGGCTACTAATAGCAAGGGCTGTTTGCGACACTGTCATCGATTGCACATCAGGTATCGCTAGAAAGGGACCTGCTTGGGCGTCTTGGTAGAGAGCCTCACCGAAGCCAGCGGCAGACAATAGGTGATTGGCCACATGGACAGAGCCCGGAATGTCAGCTGGCACAGGTTGTGGGACATTCGGATCGGTTGGCCAGTTCTTTGTGATGCCCTCGCGGCCGATCTTGATGATGCCAAAGTAGGGAATGGAGAGTTGAAGCTCGCCGCTGTGCTCTTCAAGACGACTCAAAGCGTTGTGGGCAGAATGGCCCTCGCCGCGGGCCGCACCACTTTCAACTTCTAGCAAACAACGCAATTGCTCGGCGCTCTTGTGGGTAAGGCTGTCATTTGTGTGCTTTCCCATTTCGTCTAGATTCTCGAGAAGCTGTCCGACCATGGCGCGATCACCGATTCGCTGATGTGCCCGCCAGTCCTCGACTTCTAGCCTATGACTGTCGATATGAGCTAGAAGGATGGTCATGCCCGCCATCAATGCGAAGAAATCACCGGTACGACAGAAGATAGTGACCATATGGCGATTGAACTGGCGAAACCTGATGAATCGAGTGAGTATCTCGCGACAAGCATTGACGCAGGTTATCTTAGCATATGCGTGATAACTGTTCTCTTTGTCGCAGCGTAGGAGGTATGGAAGGTGCAAGAGATGCACAAGGTTGTAGTGGTGGAGCTGGTTAGAAAGTCGCATCGTTTCCCAGAATGCTTCCTGGGTGTTTGGTTGAAGTGTAGTAAAGTTCGGGGGCGACCAATATCTATCTGGGAGGGCCTTCGTAACGCTAAGGAGCTCTCGATCGAGTTCTCGTGTTGTGGTGAAATCCCGAAGGAAAGGCTCGCGTCTGTTACGATCGATGATGCGTCTCGCGATAAGGGTATGCACCCGCTCGAGTTTACAACCTGGCTTCTCGCCCGGGATTTCGTTCTCCATGTTGGTCTCGTGTCCGCCATGTGGGAGCCCAAGCATGAGACTCAGATGGCTGTCCATATAAACGATACGGAACCACATGAATTTTGGGTTCATTTGGGCACTTGCGTCGAGGAACTTGGCCGGCGGCGGATTTGGATGATCAATCTTCATCAGCTGGGCGAAGACCATGGCCTTCCTGAAAGCCAGCCACGCCCGTCGCAGGTTACCACCATTGAAGTGAAAGACACCTTCGAGTATAACACACTCAAGACCTTCGATGCAGCCAACAATCCTATCGTTCGTAGTTACCAACCGTACTGCCGTGTCCACCAACCTTTCCATGACTACCACGGGGTCTTCTTCAAGACTACAAGTATACTGCGATCGAAAGTACTGCAGGAACAAAGCGAAGATGATCATCCGTTTCGCTACTAGGACCAGTGGTGTTGTGGAAGGGTCAGGGATCTTGGCGATATCATTGACGAACTGGAACGCCTCGTGCTCAGGGCGATCGCCCGACTTCGTGAACCACTGATGGCAATAGAATGTAGTGATGTAGTCCAACTTGCAAAAGATATCGATGTCTTGTTGCGAAGGAAACGCCTTGACTAGTTCTTCGGAAACCTTCCTGGACTCGTCCGTCATGCGACCAGCGACGTTGCTTGTCCTAATACATGATTCTGCTGGAGTGTTGACAGCACACGACTGAGGCGAGACATCCAACGAGCCATGAAATTGGTGGTCGCCATGGGATTGGTAGTCGCTATTCGGAGTGAAGTAGCCCGACCTCTTGTGTGCGGGCAGCCTGGGCGCAGCTAGAGCGATATCTCTCTTGACATTATGGCTGACTTCAACTAGTTGCTCGAGAAGTCCTTCCACCCTCTGGATGCGACTGAGAACGGTGTCGCCATTGCTCTCCGCCTGGAGCTGGAGTTCTCCTTCCGGTTGGTCTTGGCCTATACATGCTGCGCCACGACGGCGACAGGCAATGCACACAGTCTCTGACGTGGCATCAAATATACACTTGACTTTTCGTTTCTTGCAGTGCCAACAGCTCTTGGTTCCCTTCCGAAGCTTTCGGCGCTTAGTGTCGGCCTCTGGGCTCGTCGAGTACTCCGCCTCGTTCTCGGGTTGATCCATTGTAGGCGTTTTGGTGGAGTGTAACGTTAGACATGAGATTACGAGGGCAAATAATAGATGGGGGGGGGGGGGGGCGTGATGGCCTGCAACGAACAAAGGTCCGCCGACTCGGCGGAAGGTTCAGCGGCGGCTGACAAGGGCCCACGTTTCACCGGGAATCCCCATCAACCCGCGCCAGGAAAAGATTGCTTGAGAGTTTATTGAGAAGCATTTATCTCGTCGTAAGAGATGTCTTAGCTACTTGATCTCAACTATAAGACTACTATACTACCGGCTCTAGGTAGATTCGCAGAGTGAAGAGCGTGTGTGACATCTGATTGGCCAATAGAAACCGCGCTAACGCCTGGCCATGTCAAACGCCCAAAAACAATCTACTCGCTCCCCACCCACACCCTTCGGACAACGATACAGTCTATCTGCTTCTTCTTCTTCTTCTTCCACAGAGGAGCCCTGCATTAATCTCAATTCCAAAACTCACGCGGCACCACCCGCACCTTCACGAGCCTCTGCATGGAGTTGCTCGCGAGGAACGAACGCTACAAGCAGGCAAGTAACGCCGACAAGCGCGACAACGAGAGCGAAGGTGACTTTGATGCCAGCCATGTATGCCAGTATGATGGCGGGGACCTGATCGGCAGGGAAAGCATGTCGAATTTGCGTCGCACCTGTTCCGATGACCATCTGCGGATTGATGTGTGGAGCCGTCTTGGCGAGTTCATTTACCATGCGGTTGACAAATCCAGACTGCGCAGCGGAGATGGAGAATGCGCCTCCTATGGTTTGGAAGACTGGTAGTAACTTAGTCAGTCCCACAGCGCCTCGGGATGGATCGAAAAAAACTTACAGAATACGGTTGCAGTCACCGACGATATCTCTTCTTTGCTCGCATTTGCCTGCGCAATGGTGATTCCCATCTGGTAGCCTAGCCCGACCGCGGCGCCATAGAACAGCTGGTAGCCAATCCACTTCCCCATAGGTGTACCAATATCGAAAGTATACATCAAGCCAGCACTGATAGTTGCCATTACCGCGCCCGCTGCCATGAACGGCGCAGCATGGCCAGTCTTCGAGACGACTGCGCCACTGATTGCGCTTCCTAAGGCCATCGCGAGAACTAATGGTAGATTGAGGATACCGGACGAGATTGCGGACCGGTTGTCGATGCTCTGGAAGTAGATCGGGAGATAGTAGAGGAGGACGACATAGGATGCGGAGTAGAAGAACTGGAAGGCGGACGGCATCCAGACAGAGCGTCGGAAGAGCAGAGAGCGCTGCAACATGGCGCGGTCATTGTTATAATATTCCCAGGCGCCAAACGCTACCCATATCAAAAAGGACCCCACGAAGAGGCCGATGACAGTGCTGCTATCCCAGTTCTTTTTCTGCCCTCCATACTCGACGGCGAGGATAAAGGAGATGATGCCGGCCATAACAAGCGCAATCCCGAGCGGATCCATCTGGAAGAACTTCTCCTTCCGAGTCGCTTTCGCTGTGATCGCTTGGGAAGGGGTTTTGAAGAATAGAAGCACTAGTGCTATAGAGAGGGCGCAGATTGGAAGGTTGATATAGAAGCTGGCGTGATCAGTGTCAGGGTACGATGCTTTGGGTTTTGGTGTCTACTTACCACCAGCGCCAGGTAGCCTTATCCGTGAATACGCCACCAATAATCGGCCCAAGAACACTAGACAGACTATAGACCGCACCTATGAGTCCAATAAGTCCAGGTCGTGCCTTCGGTTCCGCAGCAAATGCTACAAGAGTGAAGGCACCAGTTGCGACTCCAGCAGCGCCAACTCCCGCGATCGCGCGACCCACCACGAAGGTGGTCGAGTTTTTCGAGACCGCAGATATAAGACTGCCGACCATGAAGACGCCAGTAAAACCCACGAAGGAAGCTTTCATGGGGAAATATTTGTAGAATTTCCCGGATGCAGGTTGGAAGCCTCCATAGGTCATGAAGTAAACCGACCCGTACCAAGACACCATGTCTAGACCGTCGAACTCGTCAGTTATCTTGGGGATCGCGGTGCCGATGATAGTTATGTCAAGGGCTACTAGGAAGACGGCGAAGACCAAGGCGAGAAGGACGGGCAATAGGCGTTTGCCTGTCGGATACTCTTCTGCTAGCGCAGTATCATGAGTGGCCGATTCATGGTCTTCGAAACTCTTTTCATAGTTCTGCTGCTGTTCGGCCAGCTGATCTGGAGTGGTGATACCACTGACAGGCTGTTTCTCCGCGCCTGGCGGCAAGGTAGGGTCGGACGACTTTCCTAGCTCCATTACAGGAACACAACCGTGGCGAACCGGAAGTCAAGACAAGGAGAAACAATTGTTCAGGATGTTCTTTTTTTCAAGATACAGCAAGATGAAAAGTACAAGCAATGTCAGGGGACGAATGTAGGAGAGTGCGTGAAAGTGTTCTGTAGGCAGGGACAGCACGGATTTTATTTACACGACGCAGGGAGCTAGCCTTTTAGCGCGATTATAGATTTTCTCCGTCCACCGAACACCTTTCTTTCGGTCATTGATAAGAGTGAGATGAAGCAGGCGCCCGGTTTCGTACCGGGGGAGGCCACACCAAGAGTCCTCCACCGAGCCTCGGCGGAGCGACCTTTCTCCTTCACATACACTAGCTTACTATTTGGGTAGCTTACAACACCTTTTTCTCAAGCATGAGGTAGAAGGAATGGTGGAGCTCCGTCGACAACCTCTGTTCCTCGCGTCATGTGTTTACCTCAGTATCAACGCAGAATGTGATAACAACAGAACACATTCTTGACGCGTCATTCGAGAAGGTCAGAAAAGCGACACATAATCTTCAGAAAAAACCCTAAATGAGTCTATCTCGGATTTATTTGAAAGAGTAGTAGCCTTGACAACCCAGCAGCTGGAGGAGCGGCCCTGACAGCGTACTGGAGTGTACTCTTCAATGCGGAACAAAATGTTCTTCGGCCGTATTTCATGTCGTGAGTTCACACCAAGGCGATGCTTCTGCAACGACACCTACTTGCTGGAACTCTGGTTCCTTTTCAAAACGATATGTTGCCACTCCCATATATTTGATAAGAACAGTCAGCAAGAATTCCACCGAGCCTCTCGATGCGGGGGCGGTAATGCACCTGTCAACATCCGAGAGAATATGCCATTTGCTCTTTCATCATCTCTGAGGATTTACCCCTTCAATACACCTTGCATGTAGTTTTGCCGATTTTGCTTTTTTTTCAAAGTATAGCGAATGGTCAGGGTTGACTACTTTCCCCCTTTTATTCGAGCAGGTCATCCTAAAAGCAGTATCTTCCGCCGTCAAACCAGCAAGTCTTCTATATCTCTGGCATCAGCTCCGAGACTGCCGATACAGCGTGGGCTACTACAGAATAATCAAGAAATGTACCCCATCTTCTTCAACCATTACTGTTCTTTGGACTCCGGCTCCGCTAGTTAGTTTCGATATAGTCAATGAGATGACATTTCAGAGTAAGGCGGAAGCACGTAATCAGGAATTGGATGAGAGGTATGCTGCAGGAAGAAAGCGTGTTGATGAGTAAAAGTGGCAATATAGCCATAGCTGAACGGCTCGCCCATCTTGCCTCGTTGATGTTACTCTTTTATCTCGAGGTTACTAGAAACGGTGTCCCAGCCACTCAGGAACGGCTGACCTTGGACAAGTTGGATCTCCTTCTCCCGACAACGTTGTAAGAGAGGACCTATGCCACGGAGTTCGTCTGGATCCTCCCAAACGAACTCTGTAAACGGCTTTTCATGCACGTATCGTGATTCCTCGAAAGGGGTTTGTATTTTGAAGATTGTACCATAACGGTCAATATGCGCCCGCATTCCTTCACGCGTATATCGACGCCACGGTGACCCCCATACAGGAAATTCCAGACAGTGGAACAATACAAGGCCCTGGCGGCTCCTATGAGTCCAACCTTGAGAGGCGCACGCTCTACAGAAGTAACCCTCTTCAAAACGGGCCGCTTGGGCATCCCAATACGGGGCTCGGATAACGGCAGTGTAGCAAAGAGGGTGACCATTCCTCACGCTGCTACGCTCCCAATTAGAAGCAGTAGGCAACGTGTGTCGTAATTTACGCAAATCGAACGCGAGCATGGGCCGGCTCAGGATGCCGTTGGCCTTCAGGCCGTAGTATCCCTCCGAAAGTCGCACATTAGGGACGTTCTGACACGTCTGGACTACCTCTTCATGACTTGTCATAGATGATGGGACCCGCTGAACTACCAACTCTTCGTCTCGTATCCAACACCTATAGCACCAACGCTCAGGCGTTACGAGATACATGATGTCCCCGAAACGTCCGCAGCGGCTGCAACGCTCGTCAAACACGCAGCGCACCAATGTCTCGAGTGTCCAGAAACGACATTGTAGCGCGTCTACTGCCCCCAATAGTTTGGGGAATGTAGCGATGGACCGGAAAGGGAGAAAACTGTTGACCATAGCTTTGGCATCCTGGTTTACGCGTCGAAATGAAAGAATCGAACACACATCCAGGTGCACGAAAACTTGATGTAGCAGCTCCGTAGCGAGAATATCTAGTTGGCCTAGGTAAGGTCGTGATGACGGGCAAAGTGGGATCTTTTCGTCGACGTTCTCCTGTTCAGAAAGTATAACAGGGTTTAAACCTCCACTAGGTGCTAGCGAGTCACCCAAGAAAAATCCAGGTCGCGGCGCACGGAATGTGTACTCTTCGAAATCATATATCGCTCTTCCCCCATCAACTGGGAATCCGTTGCCGAGTCCTTGCAACTCTTGATCCCAGGAAATTTGGACCATATTACCGGTAGGCAAATGCGTTGTGACAGATAGCACCAGATAGACAATGAGAGAGTATGTGACAAAGGAAGCAACTGTGGCAGGTTGCCGTACAAATAGGGTCATGAGCGGGGTTAATACTCTTGGAGAATGTGGCACAGTGATTCAAGCAAGTGGCTAGAATTATAATCTGCGCAGATAAAACAAATTGCAGGCATGGGGTTGCTAAGCGACCGGCATCACGAAACAATCTATATTTAGCTCACCCTGCACAACAACCTTCAAATAACAATACGATAACGACAGTATAGGTTAGGGCAACTCAGTTCTCTCCAGGTGGCGCGATTCTGGTTCATATACTATGAAGACCATAACGACCTGCGCTTTGTTCCCAAACCAAAATTGAGCTTACTCGTGTACAGCTCCTGGACTATCTCGCACAGTCAGTCCAAACTGATTAGATTCTCTTCTTCGTTAAAACCCGGCCTTTCGTTCTCGGGCTTCGTTCCCTCGATCCAGTCAGGCGTTTTGCCCTTCTGGGCTTCCCCACGCCTCCAAATCTCTTCTGGTGGGGTGAAAATCCGGCCTTCTTTCGTCCGTCCTGGATTCTCGGGAGTTGGGTCTGGAACCTGACCCTGCCTGACACCGTACGCAAGAACTCTCTCAACCTTTGTACCGGGGCCAGTGACGACACCTAACTCAAAATTATGGAAAAAGCTACCCTCCTGGAACAGTCGATCCTTGTTGATAGCATTACTATCCCCTTTTGTGTCGACTAGAACGCGCACGGTGCCTCCTTGCATTGCAGTCCGCTTGGCTATACCGTATGACTCTAGCATCGACAGCCAAACGTTTTCTTTATCTTCCCCCATGTGACGTGGGACCGGGACCATATCATCACCAGTCTTGATACCACTGTAAACATCTGTCACATCAATGAGGCGGCCTCTGTCATTGGCATCGAGATTCTCTGTGTGTTTGCGCTCGTCGTTGAACGCATTCTTGAAAGCTACTCGCGATTCTTTAGCGGGTTGGCCCACAAATAGGAGATAATGGCTGCCTGGTTGGATTAGATTCGATGACTGGATGTCCCAGTTAACAAACCGCTTAAATGACGCCCGCCGGGCAGCATCGTCATTACTGGTCCCTAGACCTCTGAAGTTCGGGATTTCGTTCGGGAGTACATCTAGTCCAGGTGCACGGCCCGGTCTATTAAAGTCGGCAGGGACGTCGGCGTATGCTGGGTGAACAGGTGGGACCGAAGGCGGAGCGGGGGCAGGGTTGGCGACAGGAGGCGGCCGGGAACCAGGAGCGTCACCTCCACCTTGTCTGTCACCTCCTGTCTGCATCCCGCCACCTGTTTGAGCGCCAGATCCATTTTGCAAATCATCTTCGTCTCCTTTCCCGGGCCGCGTGATTCTTGGTGGAGCGCGCTTCAATTTATCGCCATCACGGACATCGAATGCCGGCCCGCTGGTACAGTCAAGTCTATCTGGATGTAGCCGACAAGTGCCAGATGAAATGCTGACAGGCGTTCCGATATGGTTGACCAAGTCTACTACAATTCTTCATAGTTAGTTACAGCGACTCTCTTCTGGTATAACACAGGCGACGTAGTTCTTGAGGGGTACATACCGACACTGTTTTGGTCTGTGTCGAGCCCATCTTGCTTCGGGAGTTGGATGACCCTCCCATGTGAGACTGCCAACAAGGCGAGAAGGATGAGTCCTGAAGTCAATGCCTTCGAGAAGCGCATGGCGACTGTTAACTTTTGTGGCGACAGATGAAAACTGAAGAACTTTCTGGTGGTAACAAGAATGATGAGAGGCGTAGGTTGTGAAGCGGAGCCAGGAGATGTAATAGTAATGTTGATGGAATATGATTTTTCATTGTCGAGCTCAAAGTAGCTCCCCTTAAGTACACGTCTCCTAACTAGAGCCTAGCTTTTAATAACTTCATATGCTTGCTTCTTTGCTGCAACGCCACAGAGGACGAAACATGCTGCGGACAAAACACGCCGCACCCATCTTCTCAAGGCACATTGACACAGATTGCTAAGAAAGAATGTCTAAGCCTCGCGAAGAATCCGTTTCGTAGGTTGATGAAACGGAACAGTGTGAAGTATGCTGCGGCTAAGGCGAAGAGGGCTGGTCGAGCTTACAGCTAAATCTCGTAACAGATATATTGAGATTATCTAAAGAAACATAACACGATAGACGTAGCCATTCAACGCAAAATATGACGGTTTATTTTGTTAGTAATGTACCCAATATCCTCAAGTGAGCAAGTTAGTACGGACCATCGGAAGAAGGGAACCTCGTTCGGCGGCTAACGCCTCAATAAGCAATCCATAGTGTTAACAGCAACTATGAAACACACTCGCTAAGCGCTTCGATTGCTCGATACCCAGGTAGGTGCTTCTTCCCAGAATATTACTGGTTTTGACCAGGGTCCAACATGCGTAACATCTGCGCGCGTAAAAATGGGGCGGAAAGCCTTACGCCTTACGAAACCATTTGCTGCTTTGTTTCAAACGACGGCTCCGCCAACACATGTACCGTAATACTCTTAGTGCCGTATATCTTCATAAACGCACTCTATTTGGTAGTGTAGCAAAGCCATTGGGTTCCCAGGTTTAGTTGAGTGGTTTGGCTGGCAGCAGAGTGGAAATGAAAGAGAAAAATACTGAAGAAGCGCCTACTAATCTAAGACTATCTGTTGAGCTGTCGCGAGCAGGATTAGAAAAAAGATACGAAGACATGACCGCAATGCCGCAACGCCACAATGCAGCATAAGGCACTGCTGCTCGACTGTGGCTTTGACTCAGTTATTTTAATGTGTTTCATAGCATTATCATACCATGCGCGTACTCACATTCACATGATTGCACAATATATATCGTGAGCCATCGTGCTGCATCTGCTACTTACTCAACAACACATCGCACTGAACTTTTACTATCAAGATTTTACCAGCTCATTCCAATCCTATTATCTCCAAATAAAACTGCACACCAATCTACTCATCGATAGCTCCGGCCTACAATTTGTGAACTTAACCGTGCACGTTAGCAATAAAGCACAGATTTACAGCACGCACACGATGTCCTTTGCCGCAAGCTTCGGTGTTGATATTGTTATCAATGCCGTTGTTCTAGGTGCCACGCTACTACCACCAGCGCAGAATGCTAAAGTGCGTATTGGATGTGGTAGCAAAGCCCGAAAAGAACAGCAAGGATCCCTGACAGGCGGTGGCATGCCAGACATAGTGTTGTACGATACGCACGGTGAAGAGATTTCGCGCAAAGTCGGAGGAGGATCGTTCGACCCTGGGAGTAACCCGATAATCGACATGGGTGTTGATCTGCTAGACCCCGGAAAGGCGACCAGGTCGCCTGAGTACGTCAAACTGGTGGCCCGCGGCAACGACGCAGTGTGCATCGGCTATGTAGCAGCGACATCAGCAGGTGACGACAAAAGGACTTGGTAAGCACGATGTGCGACTGGCATGTAGGCCTGACACTGACTTCATACCCTTGCATCTAGGCACGCCGGCTATGCCAAAGAGTGTGCTCGCCACGCCAATGCCAATTTCTGGTACCCCTCCCCAGAGATTATCCCAGGAACTGATTTCCGCCCGGGGTGTATCTGGATGAGCAGTGACGAGCGCTTCCTGCAGGCCATCTCTGTCAAATTGACTGATTTCGCATTCCCCACAAGTGACGCTGCGGAGAAAGCCAAAACCCAGTTCGAGCAGACGCCCAACACTTTGTGCCAGGCTCCCGGCCGGATGTCGTTTTGGAAGAAGCACAATCAGAATGACTGTATTCCGTTCTATGACTTCACCGTGGAAAGGAACGAGACAACCGGCTTCGATATCGACTATCAGAAGATTGTTTCTGGTCACACGCTACCCTGTAAGCCCCGCGGACTCCTCTTGAATCAGATCCTCGAGCCTGGGAAAGGGCCCGAGACTCTGTCTCCTGAACAGATTCGGAAGAAGGAGCAAGAGGAGGAGAAAAAGAAGCATGAACAGGAGAAGAAAAACGAGGACGGAGAAAACCCCGATGCCCCGCCTCCAGGAACAGGCAGCTTCGGAGGCCAGACTGGAACTACCACACAAGAAGAGAACAACGAGAAAGGAATAAACCCCAATGGGCCTCCCCCAGGCACGGGCAGCTTTGGAGGTGTATGCGGCGTGGTCCCAGCCAGCTCGACGGCTAAACCCGGGGAGTTCGTAAGCAAAGTGGCGCCTTGCCCAAGTGGGGCACCCGTGAACCGTCGTAGGCGCGATCGGCGGCAGGAGCCACCAACGAAGAAAGATCACTGTGTCGACCGACTCGTCATTAGCTACCTAAAAGACCACAGCGCACGAGAGGTATGCGACATGAAGTCCTCGTGGGGGCCTGATTTTGTGTCAATTCCAGAAAGATTACATTGCAACATGTGTACCCGACAGCTCTCACGTCTCTGCGAGCCGGATGGCTATGATAACGAGGGTGAAGACTGCTTTGATCTCGAAAAGAGAGTGATGAAGCGATCGACAATTGCGGATTCAAAGGTCCAGGGTGGGTATCCAACACTCGACCAGGAGGCAAAATCGTATGTCCATGTCTCGGAGTGGAAGGCATAGTCCAGAGGTGGAGCAGATCAGGTGCCACAACCTACAAAATTCACCAGAGCAAAGCGAAATTGTTGAATCAAACATCTTAGATATTCCTGGCATGATAGAATCTCTTATAGCAACTACTAGACTTACCTCGGTGTAATGTGCGCTGATCATGATGATTATACCCCTGTCTGAAACCGGCTGACTGTATCTGTCTGTCGTGTGGCGAACTTCAAGATCATTCAAAGGCACCTACACCCCAGAAATACCTCTTGAACTATGGCTATAGGGCATACTTAGGCATCCCGTCATCAAATAGTTTGTGCTAGCAGTACTTCGAACATGGGTTGAGTAGCTGTCCCCATTATAAATAGTAGTGATATGCTAGACTTTATACTATTGTTGTGATAACTCAGTTCGCTTGAACATTCACCTAATGCGATGGCATCGCAGAAACGCATTGTTAAGCTTTCCTCTATTATTGCGAGCAATACTACCACGTTAAACAACTTCCTAGTGGAAAATAATTTGCCAGAGCCATCCTTCGAAGCTGACGCTTTGTGGGCGCTCCCTATCCCGGATGATAATGTCGACGTAAAGGCAGCGCGCATTGCCATTATCGATTCGTGCATAGAGCTTCAAGCCCTCGTGACTGGACCAAAAGAGCTTCTTCGTTATGATGTATGTAGCTATATCGTGTTCCCAGGCAAACTACTGAGAATGTTTTAGGCTGTGGCCTATGTCAGCGTGCGCATTATCCTCCGCTTAAAGTTGGATAAGTCGTTCCTGGTGGGTGCCTCGACCTCGTTCGAAGCCATGGCCAAGGTCTCCGGCTTAAGTGTAATGAACGTTCGTCGAGTCGTCCGGCACGCAATTCTCTGCCATCGCTTCTTTCAAGAGAAGAAACCGGGAGTGATCACGCACTCTGCGCTTACTGCTGTATTAGCAGGGGATGCGCTCACACGAAATGCTCTTATTGTTCAACTGCAGGAATTCGCACCAGCCGGTACCAAAGTGAGACACCGTCCTTGTCGTAAACACCATTCATGCTAATGATGAATCAGGCAGCGGATGCGCTAGAAAACTGGCCGAACTCCGAAGAAAACAACGAAACAGTACAATGACTCTTCGTATATCTCGATATACAACGGTCATTAACTAGTACAGGGCTTCTCACTCGCAAACAACTCTACGAAAAGTATGTACGACATCTTCGCCCTGGATCCCGGTCGAGGCTCGCGGTTCGGTACGCTATTCTCTAGACCAGATGAGCCTTTCCACATGCTACTTGACAACTATCCCTGGCACGACGTAGAAACCTTCGTCGATGTAGGAGGTTCACACGGTAGCATCGCAGTCGCCCTCGCTGAACGTTTCCCGCACATCAAGTGCGTAGTGCAAGATCTTCCCGACACTGTCGTAGAGGGTGCTTCGAGGCTCGCACCGGCGCTCAAAGATCGAGTCGAGTTCATGGCGCAGTGAGTTACTTGACAGATGAAAAACTGTGCAAAGATAGTCTGACTAAGGATAGCGACTTCTTCACCGCGCAGGCTGCGACAGCAGATGTATACTATTTTCGCTCCATCTTCCACAACTGGAGTGACAAGTATTGCATCAAGATCTTGCAAGCCCTCATCCCAGCGCTCAAACACGGTGCTCGCATTATCATCCATGAGCGCATGCTTCCCCCTCATGATGCTCTTGCGTCAGCAGATGCAAAACCGGTCATGTAAGCTCAACCGTTCCATCCACCTCTTGATAGTAACAAGCTGACTACAACATTAGCAAGATGGATATTCTCATGCTGCAGCTGCTCAATGCGCAGCAACGAGAAGCGGAGGAATGGCTGGAGTTGTTCCGTCGTGCAGATTCGAGGTACAGGTACATCGGAGCGAAGCAGCCCAAAGGCGGAGTACGATGGATTATTGAAGCGAGGTGGGATGGATAGTACCTATGTTAGGAATTCACTTTCTTCGAATTCAGCTGAACATACTCTTAGTAAGTGAGTTAGTATGTCTCGAAGGACAAAATTTGAAGTACCGGATTAGGCTTTGCGATCATATCAGAGTTTGAAAGGTCGAATGTTGGAGAGCATTGGAGAGCTCGTCTCGCGATATCGGATAGTGGGGTTTACGCATCCCGCAAATCGTCTCCGAAACAACTTCCCCGCATCTCCGTGGATAGTGCATCTAGCGGCGCTTCTAAAACAAAAATACACCCAACCGCCACAACGCCTCGTCCGGATAATGTGGCTGGACCGGAGGTAGATGTAAGGTCCGTGACGCGGCCAAAATGAGGTAACGCGTCACGACAGCAGACGACGTGTCGTTGCATCTCAGCTTCAAACCTCTTCTCCTGGTTACTTCCTTCGCAAGCGTATGTATCGAGCTTTCAGGGAATTAAACCAGCATGGAACATCAATTAGACATTGTCGTTGTTGGCGCTGGGCTTTCAGGTCTCGCAGCATCGATTCAATGCGCTCTCTCTGGTCACTTGGTGATGGTGTTGGAAAGCGCAAGAGAACTCGCTGAAGTACGCGGATGCCCTTCCATGAGTAACAAACGCTGCCAAGCTAAGCAATACACCAGATAGGGGCTGGTCTCCAGCTCACACCCAACGCTACCCGGCTCCTCCAGCAGTGGGGCGTATATGACACTGTCAAGGATCAAGTCTGCGAACCAGCGACTCTCACAGTGCTCAATTACCAAGGTAAAGTGCTTGCGCAGGAAGACGGGTTTGATAACAACATCCGACGCAAGTATGGGGCGCCGTTCTCAGACTGTCATCGTGTAGACCTACAGCAGGCGCTTGTGAAAAGGGCGAAGGAGCTAGGTGTGAGGGTGATACTGAGCGCAAAGGTCACTAGTATCGACGTCGGTAATGCACCTGGAAGCCAGGCCGAGGTTGCTATTGAAGGGGGCAACATCTATGATGCAGATCTTGTCGTCGGCGCAGATGGGCTGTGGTCAACATGCCGCTCGTCATTCCTCGGCCGTAGGGACCCTCCGCTTCCCACCGGCGATCTTGCCTACCGCATTGTCCTCAACATCAATCAAATCAAGGACCCTAAGCTGCGAGGCATGGTGCAAAATCCCGCGTGTCGATTCTGGGCAGGCCCGGATGCACACGTTGTAGCATACAGTATGCGCAGCGGAAACATGTACAATGTCGTTCTTCTCGTGCCGGATGATCTTGAGGAGGGAGTCGCTAGGACCGCTGGTGACTTGGACGAGATGAGAAAGTTGTTTGAAGGATGGGATCCAGTGTAGGCCTAATCCCCACTCACCAATGTTTCGCAGACTGACCAATACCAGGTTGACCCAGCTTCTGGAATGTGTGGACAGAGTGGATAAATGGAAATTGATGCATCGCAAGGAGATGGAGTCGTGGGTCAATCCACACAGTAACTTGGTGCTGATTGGCGACTCATGTCATCCGATGTTGCCGTATCTTGCACAGGGCGCAAATTCCTCGATTGAAGATGGCGCGGTCCTAGGTCTGCTCCTAGCGCCGGAGAACTTTACGTCAAAGGAACAACTACCAGAGACGCTACAGCTCTTTCAGCAACTGCGGAAAGCAAGAGGTGAAGCCATAGCACGGGAAACATTCAAGCAGAGGAAAGACTTTCACATGCGCAATGGTCCCGAGCAGGAAAAGCGAGATGAGTTGATGCTAGGACAGTTGGGCAAAGAGCTAGATGGGGCGTTTCCGAGTCGGTGGACGTGTCCCGAGGTGCAGCCTTGGCTGTATGGATACGATGCAGTGAAGGAAGTTCAGGCGGCCGTGAAGAGCACGAAAACGTGAAGCCTTGAAACACCGTTGTGGGGTTGTGGCAGAGAAAGCGTGGTCGCATTGGAACCATGCTGCGGGACGTTGGGAAGAACCGAGCAGCAGCCTCGGACGTTTCTTCGGAATAAGATAGACTATTGGACACATCAAGGAAACTATTTGGCATCTAAACTCTATTTCGGTGGTTGACTGTGGGATGTTGTGTACTAGGTTGATGTGAAACGACCCACCTCACGAAAGCCGAGGCCGTCACATCCTTGACAAGGATCCCCCGCCAGCCCTGGACGACGATCTCAGGGGGACGGACCTCATCACTCCACTCGATTCCTCGAGAGTACCGAGAATAGTAATTGAAGGACATCATGGGTCGCGGACGTAATGCCGTGCCGTCTTTGATCGGCGGTTGCCGTGATGCAACCATGGATTCTCTTGGCCGCATTAATCGAGAACCGACCAGGCGGAAGCAAAGTACAGATGCCAGCCTCGGCACATTGCCTGGGCATGCAGTTCATGAAACACGATGCCGAAGAAGCAATGCTAGATTGCTTCGAAACCGTTGACTGTACGCCTGATCTAGCATGCATGTATGTTCTAGTCGGATTCTCTCCTGAGGACCTAACCTTGGAAGTCACCTTGGGCTTCACGGTATAAAGACCAGGACGATGCTTCGATAACATGAGGCTATCATCACATTCATTCGACCTCGTCTTCCCTCCCAACCTTCACTTTCTTGTCCTCTTCTTCTACCATTGTGCTGTGCACTTACATTCGCTCCTACAACTTGAAACTCATCAATCGATATACTCATCCTTCACTTCCAACTTATCCCAACCACCAAATTCGTAACGCGCAAGATGAGATACACCGTAGGATCTCTCGTTGCCCTAGCTGGCCTCACCAACGGCCTCCCGCACCCACAGCTTCCAGGTCTTCCAGGTCTTCCAGGCTTACCTTCCGGCCTTCCTGGCCTACCCGGTCTTCCTGGCCTGCCTTCTGGTGGACTACCCGGTCTTCCTGGTCTGCCTTCTGGTGGACTACCCGGTCTTCCTGGCCTGCCTTCTGGTGGACTACCCGGCTTGCCTGGTCTACCTACTGGCCTGCCTGGCTTGCCTACCGGCGGCCTACCTGGTGGCTTACCTGGTGGCCTACCCGGCTTGCCCACTGGCCTACCCGGCACACCTAGCATTCCCGGCCTCCCCGGTCTTCCTGGTGGCGGCAACAGTGTTGGAACCGGCCCTCAGGCCACAGCCGCTCCGAATAAGACTGATGTAGCAGTACCCACTCCTACTGGTGCAGCCGGCACGATTGGCAGCGACTGCAAACCGCAGGGTGCCGCTGGCGCTCTTGGAAGCACTGAGAATGGTGTGACGGACAAGAACTGCTGCACTGGCTTGACCGTCATCTTTGCTCGTGGCACTGGAGAGCTCGGCAACGTGGGAACTATTTCGGGACCGCCCATGTTCAAGGCCCTTAGGCAGAAGCTTGGTGCCGACAAGGTCACTATTCAGGGTGTCAACTATGCTGCTTCCGCTGCTGTACGTCTTCTCTTCTCTTTCTCCGTAATACAACAGTACTAACGATGTTTTCAGGGTAATGCCAACTTGGGCGCAGACGGCGGCAAAGTCATGGCTCAACTCGTCGCATCCGCCCTCTCCCAGTGCCCAAGCACCAAGGTCGTCGTCTCCGGCTACAGTCAGGGCGGCATGGTCGTTCACAACGCGTTCCAGAACGGGCTCTCGTCATCCAATGTCGCTGGCGCTGTTCTCTTCGGTGACCCATTGAAGCAATCCGCTGTTGGCAACCTCCCCAAGGACAAGGTCAAGGAATTCTGCGGTACTGCTGACTTGATCTGCGGTGGTGGAGGCGATGGAGGAGCGACCGGTGACCATCTCGGCTATGGCAGTGTGGCGGATGCTGCTGCGACATTTGTGTTGCAGGCAGCCGGCCTTGCTTAGATTGATGATGTCAAAACACGATACACGACGGTTGCTATATGAAAGATGACTGGCAGATGGATGGCCTGCTGGCTCGGGATTCGTATCTTATCTGTACATACTTTACCATTCATTCACACTCCTTTGGAAAGGGCCATTAGTCCCCTGCATATTTCTTCACCAACTCCCTCATGATACTCACCGCACCACTCCTATAGCCACCGCCAAACATCGCATAGTGGTTCAGGTGATGATATAGCTCGTACAGTTTCACACGGTCTTCATATTCCTCAACAGGCTCCGTCTTCGGGCACAGCTCGTGGTATTCTTTCAAGAAGCTCCCACCAAAGCCACCGAACATTTTCATGATGCCTAGCTCGTACTCATTATGCGCATAGCATGCTGATGAGTCAAAGACTACGTCCTCGGGTTCGCCCTTGTTGTTGCCAATAACACCTACACTTGCATTTCCGCTCCATAGATCGCCGTGGACGACTACGGGGGTGACGCCTTTGCCGTTGTTCAGATGCTTATCGCCAAGCAGTCGGGGCACGACGGTCGATGCAGTGTCTTCAACCAGCTTGCGCAAGTCCTTCTCCCTGCCGTTCCTCTTCTCTGCCTGGTGCAGGATGAACATGAGCCGGTTCTCTGCGTAGAAGTCGGCCCAGCTCTCCTTGTAGATGTTCTCCTGAGCTGTATCACCGCAACATGTCGTGACGGGGAACCCAAACATAGGCTTCTCGTGCCCCTCAGGTGTTGGTGCGGGGGTTGTGTGGAGTTTCGCAAGCTTTGCTGCAAGCGATTGTGCCGACTTCGACTTGGATACGGAGCGCGATGTAAGGTGTAGGAATTCGGTGACAAGGAAGGATGTGTTCGACTGCGATTCAAACTGGCCGTGGCCAAATGACTGCGGGCATAGTGATGGTACGGCGTCGTGGATAGCTTCGAGCGATGCGTGTTCCCCTATGGCAAATCTGTCAGTCAATCAGTCGGTGTTCATATGAGAAAACAGTGCGCATACCTTCAAACATTACTTGTGCCTCTTTTCCACTTCCAGTCTTCATAAAGTAGGACTTGGTCTGGCCATTGTCGAGCTGCGACACGATCTTCGACGTCGACGCGGAGCTGCAGCCACCTCCCCCGGCAGAGGAAACGGCTGTAGTACTAGCATCTAAGCTGAGGACTCTTAGTACTGCAGGGTCGACCTTCATAACTGGAGAGTATGGTGAGTGATCTTGAAACTCGTAGCGTTGATGGCGTTTAGCTCGTGAATGGGCAAGCTAGCAGTGACGTCATAGTTAATTGCTTATCGATTGTGCCGGGTTGCAACAAGTCGATGCATTATCTCCAAGCAAGTAACCACCAACTACGTTAAATGCGGAAGATTCACTACCATTCCGTTCATTTTTTAGCCAAACAAAACCTCTTCAAGACGATTTCCCTGCTCCTGCCATGCTTTCATGATCACTTTGCCAACACCAGCGCGACGAGCAATATTTCCATCCCAGTCCACGAGAATCACGTTCACCACCGGCCATAGCGCTCGGACCATCGGCTCACCCTTCCTAGCAGAGTACAGCTCGTTGAACAGACTGGTCGCCGAGTTCTGCAAGTCTTCCTCCCTCTGATCTGAAACGGGGAGCCACCTTCCGGGAACGTGGGATTCAATTCTCTGAAGTATCGAAGTGAACTCGGGGAGCTGAGCCCATGATCCCGTCTCTTTAGCCAGTAAGTTTATGGCCGTCTCCCTAGACTCCTGGAGCGAAGATTTTTCCTCTTTTGTGTTTGTCCCGGCCGATGGTGGCGGCTTCGGGGCCTGCAGATCTCCATTGAATCTCCATCGAGGAATCCAACGTCGATGGATCTGCGCATTCTTGAGCGAAAATCCACACGAAATTGTAATGAAATCTTGATCTTTCCGACGCGCTTCAGCTCTGCGGTAGGTTGTCACTATTTCACCGATGATTTCTCCTTTCGCGTTGATCAATTCGAAGATCCCGACTTCATCATCACCCCTGCTATTTCTCGGCTTGAGAGACTGCCCGATTGAGAATCTTACGACGACGGTTTGAAAAGCTAAGACATGCCTGTCATAAGGAAAATTGTCCGTCGTTGGCGTCCAATCTTTGTATCCAGTCTTCGCGTATTCTCCGGCTACGTCCATCAGATTTAGTACGGTGACTGGTATCGAACCGCTATTTGCACCACCTTCCAGAGCCAAAGCGTTCAGTGGTGGCTCAAATGCGATGCGCCTCATGCGTTTTCCATCAGAATGATACAACCGCTTGATTGTGTGATCTGAATTGAGTTTCGGTGATTTTAGGCATGCGAGCAAGTTTCCATATGTTCCCGCCAAGGCCATGGCCATCGAGAATTTTTCGAACCCTGGGTTACTCGACGCGTCTTTCTCCTGGGGGTTGATATGGAAAACTTTGACTGTAACATTCATTAGACTTCGAAGCTGGCGGACGTCCATCATATCGAAGGTTACTGCGCCTGGGAAGACCAACGTGTTAGCAAAGGTGCCTATGCGCACGGGCGTACCAGCGAAACCGGGACTTGCATGGACGTGCGTACGTACCTTGTGCGAAATTACAGCTTGCCCAAGCCCACGATGGCAATTCAAGCGCTGCATTGTGGGTCTGAACGCATCCAAGATCAGGGTACCACAAGAGAGCCTCCAGGAAATGCTTCCTAGGCAAGCCCAGGATAAAACGTCCAGTCACGTCTTCAAGCGTTTCAAGAATGCCGCTTATAGCGAACAGTGTGTCCTTCGGATCGGTCAGCTGCCGCTTAGAATACTCCTCCACGGCAGACGCATAATCCAGAAAGCCTCCTAGGTATTTCCACTCATCTTCTATCTTAATTTGAGGATTGTAGCGCTTCATAGCTAACGCGTGTTCATCTGGAACGTGACGCTGACGTCCGGGGTCCCATAGGTACTTTGCTTGACGAGCCTCCACGCTCTTCGAGAGCCGTTCCGTTTCCAGTTTAATCTCTTCCGTCCAGATAGACTCGGAGCACTTGAAGTAGACTTGATAGTCCGTAAATAGGAGTAGTCTTTTCGATAGTAATTTCTCCTGAAATGTCCAGCCTCGGGTGTTCCAAAGAAGACTGGACGAGTTCTCGAGATCAGTATAAGACGGAAACATTGTTGCGAGGCGAAGGCCATCTACCACCTCTGAGAACTGATGGACCTTCCTAGATACACTAACGCCGGGAATCCCATAATCAGCGTGCGCACCGCCAGCGGCAGCGATAGTAAGGCTTGAGGAGCTGTATATGACCTTCATGTTGGTGAGATCTGGAATCTTATCCTCCAATGAATTGTCTTGGATAATACAAAGAGCGTCATTCCAAAGATAGCGATATCCAAGCATCCGCGTTAGATTTATCGCGTCCTCGATCGTCTTCGGTAAGTTCTTGCGTAAAGGCGTCATCTCATCACCATTCGCGTCGAATTCGATGTTCTTCCGTAGCAAAATGGCTGGCTCCATCCCTGTCTCTTCCTTCATCTTCTGGCTTCCCCACATATAACTCAACGCCACGTACTCGGGTACCTCACCCTTTGACATTTTAACTACGCAAAGATTCCGCACGTCAACCAGCCTCAGATTCAGAGGCGCACTGTCGACTGTTCGAATATCTCTATCGCAGACACCCTCATGCCACCTCGTGCATCCGTCCAACCATGCTTTCAGGAGGTTCACATCCACGTGCTCTGGCTGCACCTTACGGCCGAAGAACTGTCGGTGGTCGGGGTTTCTTTCTCTGTGCGCCAGATATTGAATGACACCTGAAGCGCCCTGACTAGCATCACCAGCTACGTGGGAGGAGACCAAGAATCGATAGACTGTCTGCGAGTACTGCTTGGCTTTTGATCTCAGATCGTACTTGTTGGAGTATGACTCAGATCTGCCCCGGTCGTAAGGCGACAGTTCGATCCCCAGTTTCCAGCTGAGTTCGTTGCTGAGTGTGATCTCCTCTTCAGGCGAGTCGGGGGTCAGGCGTGGGTCAGATTCAAGAGCATGAACAACAAGCCTGCAGAATGGGCACTTATTCTTTTGCTGGACGCTAACCCATGATCCGAGAAGAAAAGGCCGTTTGATCTCCTCGCTGAGATACCGGTCGAAATGGATTCTGCTGCAAACGGGACATAGCTGGTCGCGCTCGTGTACTTGCTTAAGTGGTGTTTGAGACATGGGACATGGTCTGTAGTCTACTCATGTCGGACAAGGCTGAACTGATAACGACTCTCTGACGCGAAACCCGGAATATGGACAGGGTCATACGCGCACAACATTTCATATACGAGAACTACAGTTGAACCGTTGGAAGGCAACACAATCCGGTGAAGCTAGATAGATGCCTACTTTGTTTTTCCTGCAGCTGCGCCACCGAGCTGAACATGGTGCCACACCCCCGTGTCGATCTTCCTCGACGTTTGGAAAGAGCCACTTGAGTTTAATAGCTGTTTAACTGCGGGGATGTTTTTTGACGCGACCCTTACGGAATAGGCAATTCCTTTGAAATTTTATTGTGCAAGGCCGGGGCTATGCTACAGCTGTTCACTCATTGATGCATGTGTGAAGGGGCGTGCATCTGCTATCTTCAGCCTACCACTACCCCGCTTTTCAACAGTGATGATTATCGTGGAGGGCCTTCGCCTATTCTGCTTTAGATATTCGTGCTACTGGGATTATTCTAGGCATCTACAAGGTTGCTTCTCGAAACCTTCCATCTTTCAATAGCATCGGTATTCAATTTCTCGTTGCGTGCCATATTCTTACCGGAAAGAGGCACTGTTTGGATTACAAGGCTGCCTATCCAAAGGCTAATCTAGCGACCAATTATATATCACCACTTCGAGTACTTCAAATCATTATTAATACTAGCCCAGAGAAAATGGACGACACGCCAATTGTAGACAGTTTGATCACCCCCTATCAGACCAGAATTATACGGCTTCATGCCAACAACGGCGCGCCTCATGTCCCTCGTTAATGGGATAAGTTCGAAGAGCTCCATGTGAGTAACTATTAACTAATTAAGCGAAGAAGCTTGGCCATACAGGGAATTGCTATGCAAATAGAGAAGGAGGGGGGCCGATAGCCTTGCCGGATGTAATGGTCCAAATACTATAACGGTGTTTCTTTGCATGCGAGTACGGTCCTTAGTTTGGTGTGATTGGGCATTCAAAAGATAAGAGGGGTCTCTCATCATTTGCCGCCTCAAGAGAAATATGGGGGTACTACCCTCAAGGCTGGGTTTCAGCCTAATCCCGCAATTCAACGCGAAAGGTGCCAGCCACAAGATTATCAAACACAGCTGTTGCTCCCACAAGGAGTGGGATGGTAATCCACTCTGGACAGACCTATAAGATGCTGGTCTTGTCTGCTTAAATGACTTGGCTATCTAAGAGAGAAGAAAGGGTTGCCAAGCTCGGAGAGCTCTCTGGAAATGGTAAAGGCGGTATTGCAACACAATGAACTGTACGGCGCTTCTGAACGAAGGACTTTGACAGCAACAATCCGGAACTACGCCTTGGCAACGATGGTTGATAGTATTGGGTTAAGAGGAGGGGCTACTCTATTTTTAGGCAACGGCTGCTTTTAGCATGCAGTGTTAAGAAGGAGTGTCTGATGGAAGGTTCATCTTCCCGATTACCTGCATTATCCTGTGGGGTCCGTATACAAGTGTGGGTGCACGAGGCTGAGAGGTTGCTAGGAATAAAAAGAAGTAGACTCCAGCCAACATAACTTCTTTTATCAGCTCGAATCGAAATTCAAAAATTTGAAAGTCTCTCACTTTGAAAGATATAATTTTAAGAAATGCCATTCGCCCAAAGTGCCAGAGCCGTTCCTCGTTTCATTAATTCAGTGTACCTTATCGTATTCTCCTGTCTATTCCCCTTCACTTACGCCGAAGAACCCCCACCCCGTTGCGCGATTAGTTCTGACGGCTTTGTCGGAAATGCACAGAAGAATTTCTCCATGACGGAATGGATAGGACGCGGTGGATGTATCAGATCATTGAGTTCTAATCAAACTATGTGTTACCCCACCCTCCTAGAGGTTCTCAAGAACTTGTCCGAGTTGCGAAAGTCTGAATTCAGCGGAGCTTCAGGAGTTCTCTCGTTGCTTCCTACCATTGGAGCACTCCTCGGAGCACCTACGAATGAAGTATGGACGCTCCTGACCATCCTGCCTTTCGGAGGAAGCCTTGCGATGCTATTATCGTTTGGTGGTGCCATTATGCCAGTCCGTGTAGAGGACTACGAAATTGCCATAAAGAAGGGAAACATTGCTATAGGCAGCATTGTTAGTTTCAGGAACACGTACGTCGAGGGAGGTGTGGAACGTGACTCTTCCTTCACTCGAAATTTAGACCTTCTCGACGAAAAGGTCAGCGCCCGCATCGCCAACGCAAAAAGTCTAAGGCCAGGCAAATCACTTATTACCTTTGGGCTTGTCGCGATGGTTTTACTCATTATAAGCTCACATGCGGCAATGGCAATCGTAGAACAGGGTGGAATCCTTCCATGGTGGTGTGTTTGCCAGTGGTGGATGCACTTTTGGTATTTCATGGGTACGTATTCCTTAACCACGACTCTTGAACTGGTACTGATTCTCTCTATACATTAGTTACCGTAAGCGCTATTACGGAGAACATAGTTCAGGTTCCATTCAGCAAACAGCACAAGCTTTATGTCTCCAGGGTGCCCTACGAGATCACCATTAGTGGAGGACAATCCATTCTTACCGACCTCCATCGAACGCAGAGTGAACCTGAAAATGTAGGGCTGGCTCTGAAACAACTGAACACGATTCCGGCAGCGAAAGTATCCTTCTATGGGTCCACACAGTATACACAGTCGCGAAACACGGTCCTCGTTATGGTCTCTATTGTTGGGAACAGTCTTAGGTGGATATCCTTTTGGCGTCCTCTAAGCAAGTTACTCAGTATTGCCGTGTTCATAACAGGCACGGCGATGTTTGCATCTGCTACACTTGTTGCTCTGCCTATGGCTGTTTGTGTCCTTACGCTCGTTATCAGCGCAGGCGTTTTCAGCCGTGCAATCGCGGGATGGTTGGTCCGCAGAGTGTCGGAGAAAGAGCCTTTGATCCACGTTATTGTCAACGACCAGGAAGAAGCGAACCATGCCATATGTCGCATACTGAAACTAAAGCTCGCAGACGATACGGACGTCCAGGTAGAGATCGGTGGCCACGTTTTCGTTAACGGTCGGAGAATTACAAGCCGTTCAAAGTGGTACGTCGCCATATGGGGTGTGCTAGCTAACCCCTACAACTTGCTCCTGGTAAATAGCAACCCACATGCTGCTTCCCAGCCACTCCTGGCTAACAATGACTCTAATGTTGGTTTCCCGCTGCAAGCTGTTCTTCCCAGGTAGATGGCCACGCGGAAACTAGTTGCACTTGGCAACACGTGCTCCCCTAAGGCGTTCTCTGCAAACTTTGGATGGTTGAACTGGAACAAGACAAAGGAAGTAAACGAGAATTCTGGGGAGGTTATCTTTGTATGAGGGGAAAGACAACATGATTCAACGCATTGCAATCGTATTTCAATAGGTTAATAACATTGGAGTCAGTAGTTCCTTGCGTAATAAATCTCTCAACTTACAGCAAGAGGTCTCTGGAAAAAACTGTGTACGAGACATGATCCTGAGGTAATGCACAAAATTCAAAAAAAAAGTCCAGCAGTGGCGGATCCGCCGGCCACCTTCGTATCGCACTAGTGTTAGCCCCCGCTCCCGTCCGCCCGTCCGCCCGCCCGTGCATTCCCACGGTACCTAGCACCTTAACTACTACCCCCACGACCAGCATGGACAGGCAGACCTCGTTGCCTCGGTTCATCTCAGCGGCAGCAAGCGGCAGCAAGCGGCAGTGCCTCAGCGCCGGATAGGCCGGGTGCAAAGCGCGTTGGACGATGACCTAATCTTCCTCATTAACATATCAAGTTCCATGCAATACAATAGTACATTGACGCGACAAAAGTTCAGACCAGAAGCATCGTCGCCGGGATGCTGCACGCCTCTCTCGGCAATCCCATGGTGGGTGTCGAGCTGGTTGAGTACAAACCACTGCGACTCACCCGAAGTCGAGTTTCTTGACTTCACCATGTCCATGGACTAGATGCGGCGCCGCCTTGGCAACATGCGCGCGGACGGATACAAGACACAGCCGACAGCTTGCTGTCCCACGTTGAAGATCCATATCACCTTCGCCGACCTGATGCGTTCGGGTGACGACATTAAGCTAGGCTTTACACAGGTGACACCCCGCGCCCGAACGACGCCTTTTGGCAAGGACATGGCGTCTTGCGCCCGCATCGGCGCCTCTACCAGCCGAAAGCATCGGATCGAGGACATACGAGTACAGGCCTTCGTCCTCGAGTTCAACCAATCGATCGACTTGGTGGCGGAGCGTATATCCAGCCGAGTCTACTTCGCAGGTAAAAGAGGACTTGGTCAAGGACTTCATCAACTGCTTGGGTCTAGCTTTTCCGCGCTCGATGTTTGAATGGTCATGTACCTGCTTCATAGACGTAGGCCTGCAGTACGTGGTCAGTCTGCTGACCAGCAGAGTCATTCACACATTGGACATTAAGCAACTAAAGCCAAACTATCTTAACTTCTCCAGTAAGAGTACTAAATTTCTTCTTCGCCATGAACGGGTGCAACAGAGTCTGGCACCAGCTCAAGCTCATCGGCGACCGCGAAATGATCATCCCGGCGCCTGACGGTTCCGGGACTCATTGAACCGACCGTGTGATGCTCCAACAAGCTGCTCTGCTAGGGCGTCATCCGCCTTGGCCATACCAAGACGTCGCCCGGTTCCCAGCTACTGCCCTCAGCTGTATACGTCGACGGTCGAGTGGATACACGCCGCTCCCAGTAACCTGCCCAATTTCAACGTGTGCCAGGTCTTCTACGTGGCTCAGGGCAAGTTCCGCTTAGCAATTGTTCGGGGCACACGAAAACGGACACAACGGTCTCGATCACTGCGCCATAGGCAGCGGCTCTCTGAGTCAGACCAAGATCGACTCGAAGAGGTCCATTTCGGAGAGGAATAATGGAGCCAGATGCGGTATTCAAGGTGAAACATCTCATCAAACAAAATCTATATGCTAGGCTCTAGCTCCTTTAGACAGCGATGACCGAAGAAGTGCCTTGTGAAGTAAATTCTATACTGTTACCCACATCAATGTCGTTTAGTGTCAGTTTTAGTGAGCAGTACGATCATGATACTAGCGTCCTATTCATCCACATAATTTCCAAGTATCTCACACGTGCAACGACCTCTTTTTTATATGTCATGTTGCTCGTACATAGATATTAGTGGGGGAAAAAGGCGGTGACCTACTCAGTTAAGATCGGAGTGTAACCTCTTACTCACGCCATCCCAAACGTATACGTATACAATCTCAGAACAACTTACGTCTAGCCCAGCTCTTAGCGCCGACGTAGCTGAGACTAAACCTCCGTCCTTGAGCCATTACTCAAGCTACTCAGCGCGTCGGGAATGCCCGCATAATAGTACGCGCCATCTAATGCTCCACCAAGAACTAGCTAGCCTCTTGTCTGTCCTAGTTCATTAGGACTCCGACGCCGAGCTGTATCACTCGTCAGAGAGAGTGAACCAAACTAACCTTCTCCCGGCGTAATAGTCACTATACGCATTATTCCCCCCAGTTGCCAAGAGGATATATGCTTCTCGCTCTCATATCATCCTTGATAGTACTTGTTCCCTTTCTGGAACCCCTCAATTCTGTCCCTCCACAGGTTAGCGACAGCTCCACAAGTACTCCTAAGACGTAGGTGCTTTCTGAAATAATCAAAAGGTCGACAAGTCCAGGAATCAGAAAATAGAGAAATACACGCACTATCCTGTCCATGAAGGCTAAATCGTCAGTTGAAGACCGCCAAGCAGACTATATCCGCGTTATCATGAAATTGACCGCCTTGTACTCCGATAGACCAACCATTCGAAAGGCGATCAATCAAGTGGCATACGGATGAGTATGCTCCGCCTTTCCGGAAGGTCTATACGAAATATATGGATCTTCAGCTGTGATATTTCGGCCCTTTGTAGCTGTGTTACGAAGACAACGTGCGTCATCTTCACTTGAGTAAGCGGAGGGGTCGATTCCCATGGCGTATAAAGTGGCATTGTCTCCCCCTCTTGTGTCTTCATCACACTCCTCACACAGACAAGACAACTACAGCCTAGTTACCAACAATCAATCCACCGACATGAAGCTTTTTGCAATCATTGCCCTTGCGTCTCTCGCACCCACAGCGTTGGGTTTAGCCGTTCCAGACGTACGTTTAACCCAAGACGGAATGATAAGAGCGTAGCTTTTAACATCGAATACAGAGTTTTGGCGCTGAGCTGGTCGATAGGCAGGTGCAAACACGCCGTCCGCCAGTCGCTAGGCAGGTGCAAACGCGCCGTCCGCCAGTCGCTAGACAGGTGCAAACACGCCGTCCGCCAGGAGAGCTGGTCGCTGGAGAAGAGCTGGTCGCTAGACAGACACCAGGGCGACCTACGACGTCACCAGGAGGGCCGGGACCAACGCCGCCACCACGAACAACTCAAACACGGCCGCCCGTAACAACCCAAACACGGCCGCCAGTAACGACTCAAACACGGCCGCCAGGAACGCTTCTAACGCGGACGCGATAAGTAGTCGCTGGGTAGTAGCAAATCTAAGGAGTAGTACGCTTGGAGCAGGAGTTTCGTGCCGAAGAAGCTTCTCCCGCCTCAAGCAACAAAGACAAGCTAGCTAGTATTGTGACCCCATATTCTACAATCAAAGCCGTTCTTTGCTATACAAACTGCTGTTCTACATTATAACTTGATTGATTGTGAGACCCTCTTAGTCGGCGAAGACGAACTGTACCGGAACAATGCAGAACCATGATTTCGCCTACGTGAAAAGACAGGTCTGGCTGTAGCCTAGAACCTATGTGCCGTTAAGCTTACAGTGATGAACTGTTTCTCCGCTTTCTCAAGGTGATCCCGGACAAGTCGTGCGATATCTAGTAAGCCTAGCACCAGGAAAGACCTGATGGCACCATGCCGAAGTAAGTGGTGTGTCAATAATTGTATGAAAGTCTGTTAGGCGTTATATTGAACACCCAAGTCTGCTTAATTCGCCTACCAACAACCTCCCACCACCTAGAGAGAAGAAGAAGTTGTAGAGCTCAGAGAGATCTCTCCAGATTAGAAAAGCGGTGTTGCAATATAATGAACGGTACGGTACCACGACGCAAAAGTCTAGTTGCAGACTATGGCACTAATTGCAGCTATGCATACTATTAGTTTCAATCCAGGAATATAATAATTTACACAGCGAAACATATTCCATGTATGTAAAGACTTTTGGATAACATTATGTCAGCGCTTTGTATTTAATTCAGTCTCAGGAATGATTTGCCGGAGAAGTCCGGGCAGCGTGTGCAATATACGATGCAGCTCGTATCCTCTTGCGTTTTAGGGTTTAGTAGTCTTCTGTCTCTCTCATAGTCTAACAGATGCAAACTCTCTTATACTAGCCAGTTGGGGTACCTCGAATGCGAAGGTTCTATTGCTACGCTACTTGGCATATCGGAAAGCGCTCTAAACTACAGAAACGTAGGCAGTTTACCAAGCGAATCATATAAACTACTTATTATTTCCCAAATTCAAATACTGCTAATTGAAAACTTCTACTTGAAAGCTGCTACTATAGCTTTCGACAGTGGCCAGTCTGTAAATGCATTAGCAAAGTCCGTTTCTCAACTTAAGTTAAAAGGCTAGCACTTACCGAAAATCGGACGCTCCTTATTTCGTCTCGTCAGCACAACCTCATCACCTGCCCTGATCTCCTTCCCAGTATCCTTTAAACTCGTATACGAATACTTTCCGAAAACTGGACCATACTTCCACCCTTTGTCCACACGTCTATCCTTAGCTAACTTCTTCCATACCATCCCCTCATCGCCTTCTGCTTTCTTGCCAGTCTTGTAATCGACAGTGATGGCCTGGCATCTCCAGCACGTACCACCAAATTCCATTTTGATACCACTAGGAAAAACAAGCTGAGCCCAATAGTCTTCATCATATGGTTCAGGGCTACCAGAAACGATAATGTTGGGACGAAATTTGGTGATCTCCATCTCCACACCTTCATCCAGTCGTGATGAAACTTCATCGTTTGACTCTTTTGTCACCACAAGGTACTGGCCGATGTCCTGGAAAGTGATTGTTTCCGTTTGTGGTGTGAGGAAGGAGGGAAGCAGGCGGCGGAGAGGCGCAGTATACGGTGATCGTTTCGCGATAGCGAGAGGGCTGCTTGGCGCTCCTGAGCCTAGGACGACCCTCGAGTTTGTGCCAATATACACGAGGTGGGTTTCAAAGCCAAGATACTTAGTGAAGAAAGCAGAGATATCCTCGCCCATGTCAAACGCATCCGTCGCGCTTCCATGGAGATCTAGGTGCACTTTCTCTAGCGCTTTCACCTCGGGTCTCAATGAGAACCGGATCTGATGCTCTGAACCAGTGTAGTCAAGTTGCTCTGGCGTTGGGTTTTCAGGTCCCACTCTAGTCACGGTAAGGTATTTTTCCCCGTCGTTTTCTACTTCAACCTTCTGTTTAAAGAGGATCATCTGAAGGTGGAAGCCGCTGTACATGGTTTCCCATTGTGTAATCTGATGAGTGTCTGCATCGCGGTGGATCTTCTGGAGGCAGAAAGATCGATCATCTTCGAACCCTTGAGGTCCAATTTTGCCTGCCTCAATCTTGCAGCCGCCCAAGCCCTTGACTGGGTAGTGATATAGCTGTTCACGATTAAATTAATGCCCGGAGCAACGTGGTGTTTTATACTTACAGCCTCAATCTTCAGCTTCACATTGCACTCTTCTGACATCTCAGCCTTCTTTTTCTGGAGATCGTACGCTAGCAGGCCGAGACCTAGAGTTGCGGCCGCCGAAATGGCAGTCCATTGAAGAACTTGAGGGTGGCTTACCACTGAGGATAGCTGCGAGGAAGCCATGTTAGAGCATGTGCTATAACTAGCAGACAAACTCTTCAAGAATTCGTTTCAGGATAGCTGTACAGACACACATCAAGTGATCCGCGCGATAGGAAGCTGTCGAGATCTTATGGTGAGGCTTCTCCATTCAAAGATAAGTGTCGGGCAATTGTACGCCCCACCATGCACAACCCCGCAGTATGTGTAGCCAATGGACAATTCACCGAACAGGGCCTATTACCATTTTCGGAAGCATCGGTTTCTGAAGACGGCAAATATGCAGGCCTTGACACCTTAGAACTTCAAGATTGCTTGGTGATATCTCTTACCGAAATATACGTTCGCTAATTCTGTTTGTTAAGCCCACTCGTTGCTTCGACTTAGTCTCATACTGTAATATTCGCTCAACCCAGATAGGTTAAGGTTGAGTTCATGTGAAGAAAGTAGCGGCGGGTATGAAAAAGACACTAAATCTTCGAAACACTCTTGACTTCCGCATCTACAAGCCAATTCATTCTTGGCGGCGTGAACAAAAGGCTCTGCCTTTGCTCCTATTTCTGCATTCATTCTTCTAGCTTTGGTCTATCCTGCTTCCAACCGATCCACAAATACACTATCTGGCTTGTCATAGCGGTCGCAGCAGCAACGGCGACTTCATCCGCTGACGTTGGGCCGGCCCCAGGCACCGGAAGGAGGCATTCTTTCGCAGCAACCTCAAACTGGTCCAAACCACGCAACATCTTTTCTTTCTGGCCTTCGACCCAATCTTCGAAGTAGATATTCCACTCCTTGTCGATGCGCACCTCATATGTGATGAGCACAATGGCTTAGAAGGAATGTATCTTGAGTAGGGTAGTTGCTACACTGTCGAATAGCAGATCATGTCGGTCCATATATCGGTGATCAGGCATTGGCTCCAGGTAGCCTCTCCCTTAACAAATTAACTACCTCGATGTGATTGAACATTTGCGCATAGTCAAGAGCTTCCCGGTCACTCTCGTCCCGGATATGAGGATCCGCGCCTTGATCCATCAGCATCTGTACCACATCAGCATAACCGTAACTTGCGGCCCAAAGCAGTGCAGTTCGACCGGTGCGATCCCTGCGATCAACCTGTACTCCTCGCCCTGCTAGAACAGCTTCTACTGTTAACGGTGATCGGCGTTCTAGAGCCCATGGGAGAGCCGTCCACCCGTCCACGTCTTCTTCGCCCTCGTCTCCACATCCGTATTTTATTAAAGCTTTAACAGTGTCTGTATGTCCTCCCATACAGGCTAAAGAAAGAGCGTTCCTGCGGTCGTTGTCTTTGCTCATTCTGTCGACGCTGTGCTCGTCCCGCATAAAAGCGTCAATAATCTCTTCTTGGCCGTTGTTGGCAGCCCATAGTAAGGGTGATCGACCATTTGCGTCTTTGAGGTTTACATCTACTTCCGGATGCCCCAAGAACATTCGGAAAGCTCCTAAAAATCCTTCGCCAGCAGCCCATGATAGTATTGAGCGGCCATTACGGTCAACATGGTTGATATTCACAGCTGGGTGGCGAAGCAGCAGACGCGCAATGTCGGTATGGTCCCTTTCAATAGCCCAAAAGAGTGGGGTCCAGTGATTCTCATCTTGGTGATCGGGTCGGCAATCTTTGCAACTAAACAACACTTCGAAGGTTTCCAAGTGGCTATTTCCAGCTGCAAAAGACAAAGCCGTCCGTCCGGATTTCCCTTCGGTATTGACGTTAGTACGGGCATCGGCCAACAGGACTTTCACTGCCCGTAGATGGCCATGATGCGCAGCTATAGTCAAGGGAGTATGTTGATAAAGCCGGCGGGAGTTAGGATCCGCACCACGTATGAGCAGCACCTCTACAGAGTTCGAACAGCCCATCCTTGCAGCCCAGAATAAAGCACGGTCTTTTCTGGTCTGGTCGACTGAAACATCTAGGCGCATAGATTCGTCAAGGAGGAGAGCGCAATCGAAGAACGCGGCAACCATGATGGCGTCGAAGTCATCCGGCAATGCAAATTCCATTTCCGTCTTGATCCAGAAATACTTCAACCAGTTCTTCAAAACATGGCTACCACCCTGTGTCAGAGCACGAACGGCCTCCCAAAGAGATTCCGGAGCAATACTTTCGCACAGTGCAAAATGTTCTGCCCAATGTGTAGCAGCGTAGTCGAAGAGTTCGAAGCGCTTAGTGATGAATGTGCAGTTCTCTTTCCGCAGGTCTTCTTCGTAATCTGGAAGCGGTCCGTCGGCTAAGAAGTCCAGTGATGACGAGTTCGAGGCCTCATCGTCATCCTTTTTGTGATCAGAGAGAGAATTATCAGTCATTATAGGTAGGAAGATGTCCGTCGCGAAATCTTCCAATAGCAAGTATCGAATGCAGGTCGAGGCTATACCTAGCGCCGCAACGGGAGGAGAGATACCAAAACTCTGGACCATATCATCTGTCGAAGAGAGTGCAAAGCCAGCTAAAAAGTCTTTTACTGATTGGTGGATAAAAGAAACTCTAGATGCCTCAAAGCGGACAAAAGGCCCTACTATCCCGTGCAGCATGCGCTCAATCGCATTTTGACGATCTTCCGTGAGCTTTTCTACAGTTCTGTATTCTCCTTGGTTGATTGTGTATGCTATGTTCATCTCTTGCAAAGTCAGAGATCTAGAGCTTCCGATGAGAATGCGCAGTATGTTTCGCGCAATATCTCGGCTGTCAGGGAGGATTCGATGCAAGAATCTGGCGTATGTTGCTTCCAACTTCCGAGGGAAGTTGTTGATGATCTGCTTGAAGTCCTTCTTGGATGTTGATTGACTATCCTCCAGGGACTGGAGCACTATGTTCAGCCAAAGAAACGACTTCTCAGCTTTGCAAAGGAGTAAGGTCTCTAGCTCAGTTATTGTTTCTTTGGAGAAGCCGACCTTTTTGGCAAGTCGTCCAAATCTGTGGCTAATGACCAGTCTAATGTCTTGGCTGATCCTGGCCTGATTTTCGTCAATTGGCAATATGCTCTTGTCAGGTTCCTCGAGAATACTAAAATCTTGAGGAGAAGGGCGACTAGTTATGAGAAACTTGACTAGGTTTCGTGGACGATGGGGCGCAGTTCCCGATTCCTGCACTAAGTGCATAATTGACTGCAGGAAAGTTCGTCGACTATCGGCTTCACACTCATCAATCGCGTCCACGATGATGCCAACGGGACCCAATCTTGATTCTGATATAATTTTCAAGAAAATTCCCCATAGCGCAGCGAAAGACTCCACCAGGTTATGACCAGTAGCTTCCCACCTTGACTTTGCATACTTGATGAGGCTTCGGTGTTGCTGGAGGATCTGGTGAAGGATGCTTCTGAGTATCTGTCTGGCATTTCTCTGTGTTGTGATCTTATCGTCGCAGAAGAAATAGAAGACCTGAGAGAACGATTGAGCCGCTGAATCAAGCGCTAGGTGCTCTGTTAGATATAAAGAGAGCATAGTTTTCCCACAACCCGGTTCACCAGTAACCCAGAGTAGGCCAGTGTCTTCTGATTCTATCCAGGAAATATACCGTTGATCGCGGAGAATCCAGCTACATGTTCCTTGTACGGGCCTCGGCAATTGAGCTTTGTAGTCTTCTAGGTTGGTGGAGTAGAGCAGGGTCATGCAACGCGTCTCGGTCGATCTAAGAGCTAGTGTAATAGATTAGCCGGTGTTCAACACATTGAAGCAACAACATATACACTTATTAGCTGAGTCTCTACTCGGCTTTATTCCTCGAGATAACCGCCGAATCTGATTGAGAACAGTGAGATACTCTGTGTTCTTCGCCTCGAACCGGCACATGCTCCTATGGTCCGCATTCAGTGGAATGACTTGTTCGCCCGGTATCCCCATTATGGCGGATTCGCGATCTACGACCTGATGTAAGAGGTCAATTCACTTGCTTAATAAATCTTGATAATTGCCTTACCAAGCTAGACAGAGGGAAAGCAATCTTTCGTTCGTAAAAAGTGACAATATCTAAATGGTCAAGCTGGTCGTGGAAAGACGTAGCGAGTGCTTGCAAACTGTCGGAATCTGCGCTTAACGCACTCACAAGATCACTACGAATAGCCCCAGTCAGGCTTGTGACTTGCGCTACACGCAAAAGTGCATTAGCAAAGTCACCCACGGCCTTACCAGTATCTGCTATTCTTGAGCCTCGGTGCGGCGTTCCCAGGAATATGACAGCAGTGGTAGCAGCCAAGATATCCCCATATTGACTCTTTGGCTCTTTGGCTAGAAGGAGAGCCTTTCAACTAGTAAGAACTAGTTACAATATGGGATTTAATACATACCTGCTTGCAAACAAGGCCTCCTAGACTATGACAGACGAAAATGATTGGACGCAGCATCTTTGGCGGCAGGATCAGTGGCCAGAAAGGAGTTATATTGAGTTTTTGTTGTGCGTCTTACATTAACCTCTGAAGTGGTGGTCAATTGACCCTGTAACTCAGCTAGGAGGCTGCGCGAATAATCGATAATGTCCCCCACAGATTTGCTAAACAAAACCTCCGCTGGGTATGCATACGTAAAAATGCGCGCACCAGGAAGGTCGCTCGGGAGAAGGTCCTTCAGCCACATTGTGCCGTTTTTGTGCCGCCAAGTCGAATAAGCGTTCCCATTGAGGCCATGTATCGCAACTATGTCCAACCCCGCTCCATCCTGATTATCGGCGCAGAGCCTGCCATCGTACAGAACCTCGAGTCCATAGTCCTTTTTTCGATTCGGAGTTTTGGAGGCGACGGGGACTGGGCGTGGCGGTGGAGACTGCGGCGGAAGTGCGTCGCTTGGTTGCGGCACCTGGATACTGATGTTAGGAACTGATTCGCGGTTGCTACCGGATGGTTGGAATATTCACTGACCTGATCATGCCTAGCGTCGCGAGCCAGCGCTGACGGTTTCCTCCGGAAGCTTTTGCTGCAAAATTTGAGCAGCACCATGTCTCATCTCATCGCTCCGTTGCTGTTGTGTTCATGTGAAGTACATACACTTCTGAGATGAAAAGCGGGCGCTTAAAGTGATGGGCCGATCTACACGGCTAATTTCATGCCTTAGTCCACTTTGAGTGCTTCTTACCCCAGCACCACGGGCGGCCCCGGACCATCCCCGGCGCCAACATTCTACGAGGCAGAACCTATGGCTCTATCCCGAGTGACAAAATCTGACATCTTTTTCTGTATACAAGGTTTGCCCCACACGATCATAAAGGCAGGATTGAGCTCGTAAGCCGTTTGGCTTACGACGCCATACATGAGATAGTCTAAAGTGCTTATTCGATTCATCGCCCTTTCAATGATAGATACGCGGAGCACCGGGCTAGCTAGGAGTGAGACGTTGGATGCTCTACAGAGGTCTAAATCGCAAACTAAACTTACATTAGTATCTTTCATATCAATATAGTGACAAAATTGAGGCAATTTCCTCGCACACTTGCTCTTGACGACCAGATCCTGGCATAGTGCGTCCTAAGATTGTATCCTCTACACAGCGGACAACTTCTCGCTTGAATATCTGGACAATCTTGACAATTGCGTCGAATCGTGTCACCCAACCATGATTGGTGCTTACATCTACAGGCAGTAAGCAATCGCACCTCCCCCGCCGGAATACCCTCCGGACCTGTGATAAAGGGCGTAAGCTCGTACAGCTCGTATCGTATCGCGTCCTTTTGGAAATGATCAGCCCTCAGATGACCAGACTTCTTTGACTGTAATCATATACAATCAGAGCAAAATCATATATAACATACGCCTAACAATTTCGTCTCTACAATTCGGTTCCCTTCCGTACAAAACACTACTTGAAAAATGCCGCCAATTACGCTCTGGTTCCTACAATCCTCGCGCTGCATTCGCACAGCCTGGCTACTAGAAGAGCTCAATCTCCCGTACAACCTGAAGTTTTCCGACCGCGTAAATGCAAGAGCGCCCGACGAATTCAGAGCAGCGTCCGGTAATCCACTAGGAAAGTTCCCCACGCTACAAGATGGCAATTTGACCATCTACGAGAGCGGCGCTATTAACGAGTACGTAACGTCGCAGGAAAAGTTTGTTTTGGCAAAATGAAAGGAAAGAAACGGAGATTAGAACTGACATGACGTGCGCTGTGAACTAGCTACCTCTGCGAAACATATGATAAAGAGGGAAAGCTCTTTCCTCACGACCCCAAGCAGCGCAACAAAGTCCGGCAATGGGTGCACGCCGCCGAAGCCACTGTGCTCCTCCACGCCATCGCCATTTACTACGCGCGATCATATTTCCCCAAAAACGCGCCAGCAGGGGCCCTTGAAGCGACTGAGAAAGGCATGTCGGCGAATGTGCAGGCAGACCTTGCGTGGCTGGAATCCGAGCTATCGGCGTCGCCGGGGAAATTCTTGTGTGGCGACCATCCTACTGCTGCAGATATCATGATGCAAGTTTCTGCTGAGTATATCTTGAAGGGGAAGTTAGGCACGCAGGGCAAGGAGTATCCGATGATTGAGAAGTGGTTGGAGGCGTGCAAGGAGACGGAGAGTTATAAGCGGGCGGTGCAGAAGACGGGGCATAAATTGTGATGGTGAGTTCTAGCTGGGTCATTTCCTATTCATGTACGGAAGTAGAGTAGTTCTAACAAGACCATGTTCTTCGTGCGAGCTACTCGTCGTCTACAAGCTCCACCCTGGCATCATCTCCTTGAACCGCTTTAGGAAACGCTTTGTTGTGCCAAGCTACCCAGGTCGAAAAGTCCATGATCTCGTCTCCCTCTCTGGAAGAAGTAATAATAGGGTACCTTATCCACAAAAACGTCCTACCGTTGACTTTGCGTGTCTCTGAATCATCTTGTTTATAGACGTTATTGGCTTGCAGACGGTTTTCAAGCTCGACCCATAGCATAACTTCTCGCATGCCGGTGAAAGCGAAGTGTCGAAATAAGTCATCTCCAGATAGGCCTTCCAGAGACCCATTGTAGCGGGGGTAGCTCTTCATGATCAAATGAATGCTCCGGAGATTGGGCATTGAAGCCAGGAAGGTGGCAAAGCGCTCTAAGCCCAGGCTTTCAAGCGCCGCCTCGTGGCAGAAGTAGGCTTTGAGTGGCTCAACATCGGTGTGGAAGAAGTGAGAAACCGCTAATTGAAAGTCAAACCACTCGAGGTTCTGGCACAGCGTCATCGTCTCGAGAAGGCTGTGAAAGCTATCGTATCCCGGCTGCTTGTAGTCCATACCATCAGACCCGCCTAAAGAAATCCTCAAGCTAGGCAGTGATGCCCTACCCTCCACGCCAATCTTCATAATAAGCCGCTGAACTAGGCCATGAGCGTCTGTCTCTTCAGGAATGCATCCTTGAAGTGTCAGGGGCATCTTTGCGTAAAAGAAGGTTCGAATCTCACTACGAATCTGCTGATTCATGGCACCCATCATGTCTAGCACAGATATCATAATCTCCGACCCGTAAGGACGACCAAGGTACTGGCGGAAGAAAGGTAGATATTGGTCTTTGGTTTCGACGTAGGATATCTTCATAACTTCGACGTGGTCTTCCGTGCCAAAGAGTGCCATGGCATATATCATATATCGAATGTTGGCTGGCAGGTCGAGGAAGGACTTGCGTGTCGGATCGGTTTGATACTTGCTTGCAAACATGAGGCCCTGGCGCTGTCCGAGTTGTTTGTTGAGTTCAACCTTCTTCCGATACTCATCTTTTTCCTTTTCTGATAGTGAATGAAGATGCTCCTCTGGCTCATGAGCGATATCGTGTCCGTTCTCCTTCTTCGGCTGAACATCAGCCCGGTCCTCTCGGGTCTTGTACTTCCAGGCCTGGTACTTTGCCACGTCTTTGGCATCCGACTTTCTCAGCGCGTTAACCTTGTGCGCCCTCTTGTGTCGACCTCGTAGACCGATGTTCTTCTGTAGCACCAGGGCCTTGAGCTCATCATCTGTCATCGCATCATAGTCCGGTAGTTCGCCAGAGTCAAGCTCAGCACGTCGCTCTTCGGAGAAGGGTGCACGTGGGACTTTGGGCGTGGTGAGATCGGCTGATGCGTTTCCGTTGGCGGGTATGCGTTTGGTCGCACGCTTGCGGCCTGCCATTGTGATAATGAGACTTAGGGGGCCAGTTGAGGTGGAGAAGTAATGGGCGCAGTTGAGATGCGAGTAGAGGCGATGGATGCGAGTAGAGGAAACCAGTGCGTGCGAGCAGGCCTTATAAGTGAGCGAGAGGCCAGAATTAATCGACGGGAAAGAGCCCCAGGTCCATGTTACGTCATGGAAGCAAGCGGAACTATGCGAGAGAGGAGTGCGATTTCACTCGCTTCATATGTATATGTCCGTCTATTTCCTGAAAACGTCCTATTCACCACAGTGGACAAAGCTAACCGAGAGATAAGAATGTTAAAAATATTAGATATTTTACGCACCAGTATATATCACATCCCCGATCGCTTATTCCTCCTCTCCATACATAGAATCAATCCACGGCTTCAGCGCACACAGTCCAAACTCCACCGCCTCCTCTGTCCGAATTGTCCTGCTGCCCTGCCCCGGCACAAGGTTAACCCACGCATCAAACAGGTCATGAGCCGTCTGCTTGCCAAGACCCATAGCAACTAGCTTCGAATCGTTTGCTACAGCAGGTTCTAGCCCCGCTACGCCGCCAAACACAATGAGGAGGTGGTTAAAAGATTCGGGAGCTTTCTTTTCTGATTTTGCAGTTGAACCAGGCAAGATCGAATGCACGGGGACGCCGCGCTCCGACGTGCCGATGGTGTAGTCGTAACCGCCTGAGTATTCGCACTCGGCGAATACGGCGCTGAGCGATGTGGCGCGGCGGACGTTGTAGCCCCAGTAGTAGCCGGACTCTTCGCGCGGTAGGCTCGACGCGCATGCTGTGGCTTGCAGACTTTCACAGTCTTCATATGATAGATGTGGCCAAGAAGAAGGCGGGTTGACGCTTTCGAAGCGTACGGTGGTGCGCATGGCGGCCTCGATGGGCGATCCTGAAGGTATAGGGACCCGTACTGGAAACGGCAGGCCGCATTTAACATATGCGTAAATAAGCTCGTCCGACGCGCTTACGTTCGACTTCTTCCTCTTCGGGGTAGATGATATCGGGGCGGGCGCTGGACCGATGACTACACCTTCCCGGTACTGAGACCATTCGTGGCTCCTCAGATGATGAGGCATGTCCATACTTGGCAAACATCCTGACCACTTGAGATTTTGGTGCTCCTGGAAGATGCTGAGACTTGGGTCCTCGGCGTTGTACCTCAGATGCGGCGGACACTCGGCAAACGATAAGACATGGAACAAGAACTGATCCGGGTTTTGCCAGGGTTCGTCTTCTTCAAGAATAGAATCGAGAACTTCTTGCTTGCTCTTCTTGCCCTTGCCCTGGCGAATGTAGTGATCAGACACAACTCTGGGGTCTACGTTGCTCGGATCGTCGTCAAAAACAACGATCTCGTCGACGCAGAATACGGCTGCAGCGCGTGCGATGCGGCCTACTTGGATGGTCTTGTGATCGGGCTTCTTGGCATTGAGAGTCCAGCTTCCGGGCAATGCAATGCTAACAGTCCAGTCTCGTCCCCGGGTGGGTTTGAAGATGGCAGTGGGCCTCGATGTGTCGATATCATCGACTTGGTCATCTGCATCGCTCTTCCTCTTCTTTGACTGGCTGGCATCACTGGGATCATTCTGGTGAATGACAACTGATGAGGCTTTCCGCTTCTATTGCAAATTTAGTTGCTAACGCAATGTCTATGGCTGCTGATCGTACCTTGCTCTTGTCGTTCTTCTCGTCGGCCGGGCCCTTTCTCGAGCGCAGTGCCCCCATCGTTGCGCCCTTTAAATCTTCTTGGCAGCTTTGTGAATTGATGGGTAATGATGAACTAAGGGTACACTATATGCTGTCAGAGGCACGTGAGAAAGTGAAGGGTAGATTTCGCGGTGAAATAGAAAAACATCTCGCTCCACTCAGCCCTGGAGACCCTGCGTCATTTAGCGCAGAACCCCTGCACATGCGGCGTTCAGGCAACCTCCAAGTCAGCAGCCCAACAACTCTAGAAGTATTGGAGGCGCAGTCCTACTCTCCTCTCCTCTCCTCTCCTCTCCTACACATACACAATCCACAGTCGCAGTCCAAAGATTCCACTCAAGAATTACCCACTTCCTCTCGCCACCATGGAAGCCAAAAAGTCCGCACCCCACTCCTCTCGCATGCGTACCTCGTACTAAACACCCCAGATCCCTCACGGCCAGCGCAACAAACACGCTCTTCACCTTCCTCGCCCTATACCTTACAACGCTCTTCTCCCTCGACAACTGGGCTGCCGCACGAAACTCCCCGTACCGCGCACCAGGCAACAACTCGTTCTACCGACCAGCCAGCACGGCGCCCGCGCCAGACAGCTACCAGGCAGGCATGCATGGGCGAGGGAATGCGGGGCCAGGGAGTGGAAGTGATGGGGATGGGAGGGGTGTCGGCAGAGTGCCGCAGGCAAGGGATTCAAGGCCACCGATGAAGATTGGGGGGACGGCGGCGTGTGGTGCTTGTCTGATGTGACGTAGGGCAGTAGAGGAGATGGGCTTGGGGGATTTGTTTATACAACGGAGTTGGGTGATTACACTAAACGGTGCGATGGACTGTTCTATAAATATGGCAAGGCGTTACGAGGAACGGGCATATGGTAAGAGGGCACATGAACGCCAGCGCTACATATCGGAACGGATTCATCAACAGGCGTATATGTTCAGAAGAAGAGAAAGCTGCGGCTTTTGAATGCCAAAATCTCTTCATTGCTCCCTTTCGCGCCATGCTACTCAGTGATGCTAACGAAACTGACCGTCTATCCATCATGCTCCTCTCCTGACGTTTGTGCTCATCAGTGTTATCTTTTTATTTTTCTTCTTTTTTCCGCCAGCCTGCTTCTTCGACGTCTCCTCCGCTTCACCAAGCGACATGGCCTGCGCCTGTGCCAACATCTCTTCTTCCTGAAGCAGATCCTTCTCCCAGCCCTGGAGCCAGCCATCGTCCATATCGTGATGATCTTGAGGCGCTAGAATGGGGGAGGCCCCTGCTATTGCAGCTGTGCCCCACACAGTCCGTGGTGCTGAAGGACTCGTCGAAGGGGAAGCCAAAGACGCGAAGCCCTCGCCTCGTCGCGTCGGCCAAGGTGGTGATGACGAAGTGTTGTCTCCTTCCACAGGTTGCGCATCGGATGCGCTACCTGATGCCAAGGGCTGGAAGTCGGCTGCAGAGAATCGTTCTGATATACTTGGGCGTTTCCTCCGCGCAGAGGAGAACTCAGCGTACTCTGCTTTCTCGGCCCGCAAACGTGCCTTTTCCTCCCTTGTTTCCTTGTCTGTATGCCTTTTCCGTCTCTTCTCGATCTCCGGCTTGAAACTCTCCAGAACCTCTGGCGCAACAGTATCAGTCCAATCGCACTCTAGAAAGCTAACCTCACATCCATATGGCAGATGCGCTAGGTACTTCGTCCTTTTTCGCAACTCATCGTCAACGACATGTCCCGTAGAGACACGCTCGACGCGTGGCAGGATTGTGGAAGGAAGGTTCGCATAATTGCCGAATGCAGCTTTCAAAATGCGGATGTCTAATGGCGATAAATAGTAATGCAGCAGCGCTTGGTAAAAGAAATATTCAGAGGGCGTATGGGTGTGGTCGTGATGTTGTCGATTGCGAATCTCGGCAAGGGTAGAGGCGATTCCATGACCTGCTTTCGAAGTGTGGGAGGAGACGGACATGGTTCTCTGTTGTTTCGTTTCATCGGAAGCAGATTCGGGGGGTACTGGTGTCGCTAGAGAGTCCTGCCCTGATTTGGACGCATTCTGGATCTTATACATTTCTGGCGCAGCTCCTGGCTCTTCGTCGAAGACAATTGGGGCCCTTTTCATTTTGGGTTCCGCCGGTTTGACTGGCTCGTCCGGAGGGTTCCCGATTCCTTTCATCTTCTCTTTTGATTCTCGAATACTTCGTATCGCTTTCCTCGTCCATTCCATGTTATCTTCGCCAAACATGACTTCGTCCTCCTTCCCTTGCTGGTCTAGTTTCTTTATCTCCTCCTCAAACTGCTCCAGCATGTAGTCCTCTCCACCTCGCATAACACGAGCGTAATCCATGATTTCGGCAGCGTGGTGCCAGGGTATATCTTCATCTCTGCCCAAAGCATCGGCGCCGTCGCGCGGCATGGCTAGCGTACTACCAGCCGGTCTCACCAGCAAGCGGAGCACCACATCGCTCCCCTCCCGTGGCGGCTCGCTTTCCTGTCCTTGATACCAGCGCACCGGCCGGGTTTCGGATGCGTATATAGTGTCGAAGCACAACGGGCACTTCTTGGATCGTGCCCTCTTCTCGGGTGCCTTGCCTTCGTCCTCGGACTGCATGTAGCGGATGAGGCAGGGAAGGCAGAAAATGTGACCGCATCTAGCCATCCTCGGGGCTACCGGAGTCCCGAGGCAGATCGGACATGATGCCTCCTGTGAAACCTCCGAGGCCAGGATCTGCAGGACATTGTTCCAGTCCAGGTGAATATCGGCGTCGACGCTCTGGGCGCGATAGTCGCGGCGCGGATCTACAATGAAGCGGTAGTTCGCATGCACGTATCTGTGATGTCAGCATCCAACACACTGCTTCAAGGGCTATAACTACACACCTCGCTTTGTCTACTGCGTGGTAACCCGAACCTAGACCCCATGTCGGATTGCGCCGGTAGTTTCTTCCATGTGATTGGTGGTTCTGCGGGCGAGGTGGGAGGCTAAAGTTCATAAGATGGGTGATTGAGGTTTGCCCTTTCCGGTTGGTGAAGTTGTGCATCTCGACAAGGGCATCCTCATCCGTCTGTCTGAAGCGCTTCGAGCCTTTGTGCTGCTTCTTGCTCTGCTGGTTGTTCCGTGGCGCGGGCGAAGATCGAGTCGACGCAGCGGTTCCAGCGCTACCCCGCTGTTGGCCGAAGAAGGGACCGGTGGTGATGGATGTGGGCTGATTCTGTGCTGGGGACGCGGGCCCAGAGGAGGCAGAGGCTTTCGAAGACGCTGCAATAGGTGGTTGGTTGATATTAGACATGGCTTCCCAATGAAGGGTGCACGCCTGCGCGAATGTGACGATGACCTCCGGATCGATCGCTCTGGAAGGCCTACTGTAAATGAAAGAAGGAGAGAAGATAACAGTGAGAGGGGGAAAAGAAATATAGTATGTAGTAGCACCTGCAGGTATCAAACGGTTCCCAAGAGGGCCGGGGTGACATAGATGCGATGGGTCGAGGGCGAATCCATGGATGTAGGTGGCGGTACCTGGTGGAGTACACGCTTCCCTCTTCCGGCTAGCCCATGCTTGGCGCTGAATATGTCAACTGTTAGCCGCGGTCTACAGCTCATTACTATCGTCATCTCTTGTTGCGTCCTATGATTTCGTCCGTGGTCGCCTGTGTACGGAGAGATTGTTCTTATGTGAACAGATAGCTAGCTCATATAGAGCCTTCATATATGCAAAGGGCCAACACTTTTTACCAACGTCAGGAAAATTCAACTTATATATTTTCGCCTAGGTAGCAGCTGGTAGCAGGCTGGTAGCGCGAGTAGGAGATTCGCCAAAGTCGCTCTACGCTGACTTTTTTAAATATTTTTGCCTAGTTCGCCAGTGTCGCTAATGTTGCTAATGTTGCAAGTTTAATATTTTTAAAAAAAACTTTAAAGTATTTAGAATTTTTTATATTATAACGTATTACACAGGCAAGTTAGTCGCCTAGTTAAGTTAGTTATAATGCTAAAACCCTACCAAAATTAGTACTATGCATAATAGTATAGCACTATAAAAAACTATAGTAGTAAATTATAATAAACTAATTTATTTAAAAACTACTTTTACTTTTTACTTATATATTTGCGCGTTATACTTAGCTTTACTATAGTATTTATAGTACTTTTAAAAAGGCTTACCTGCTTTAGTATATACTTATTTTTTTACTTTTTTCTTATTACTACGCGCTCTAAACTCTTTTAAAATTATTAGTTAAAAACTATTTTTTACTATAAAAGTCTTTTTTTTCTGTACTTGCTTTTTTTTATATAATTTTTATTATATAGCAGCCTTATTAGCTGCTTAAAATTTAGTAATTTTTTTTTGCGCTAATATAAGCTTATGCGCAACTATAGCTACACTTTTTAAAATTTTTTTAAAAGCCTTAACTATTAAAGTAAAAAAACTATTTAAGTACTTTTAAATTTTTATTTTAACTAGCGTTAATTAAAACTTAAATTCTAAAGTATTGCTTAGTATTTTTAACTTTTAAAAACTATTTTTAATAGTAAGTAGTAATAAAGTACGCAACTAAATATTAAGCTTTAATATTACAGCTTTAAAGTTAAAAAAAATTAAACTAGCGCTTTTAAAGCTACTTAAAATATTACTCTTTATAATAGTAGTATTAAAAGCTAGTTTAAAGCATAGTAAAAACTTAATTTTAGTAATATAGTTAATGCTATTGCGTATTAGCTTTTTAGCTTAGCATTTATATACTTTTTTTAAAAGCGCAAAATAACTTATATTAAGTAGCTATAGTAAGTGCAATAAATATAGGGGCATATAAAAAGTAATAATTTTTTATTTCTTACAGTACTACTAAAATTAAACTAATATATAGCTTTTATAACTGTTAATAATAAGCAAATAATAAGTACTAATAATTTTTTTTTTAGTATACTTATTAAAGTGCTTTAACTACTTAAAAGTAAACTTATTTATTATCTAGCCG